AGTTTTGGTAATCCCGCACCTCCTCCTAACTTCCAAACTACGAATTCTCTGCATTATATTCACACCACACATTGCCCTCAGACATGACATCTCCACTGCCTCCAGCCTTCTCCTCGCTGCAACATTCATCACCCACGCTTCACACCCATATAAGAGCGTTGGTAAAACTATACTCTCATACATTCCCCTCTTTGCCTCCAAGGACAAAGTTCTTTGTCTCCACAGACTCCTAAGTGCACCACTCACTCTTTTTCCCTCATCAATTCTATGATTCACCTCATCTTTCATAGACCCATCCGCTGACACGTCCACTCCCAAATATCTGAATACGTTCACCTCCTCCATACTCTCTCCCTCCAATCTGATATTCAATCTTTCATCACCTAATCTTTTTGTTATCCTCATAACCTTACTCTTTCCTGTATTCACCTTTAATTTTCTTCTTTTGCACACCCTACCAAATTCATCCACCAATCTCTGCAACTTCTCTTCAGAATCTCCCAAGAGCACAGTGTCATCGGCAAAGAGCAGCTGTGACAACTCCCACTTTGTGTGTGATTCTTTATCTTTTAACTCCACGCCTCTTGCCAAGATCCTCGCATTTACTTCTCTTACAACCCCATCTATAAATATATTAAACAACCACGGTGACATCACACATCCTTGTCTAAGGCCTACTTTTACTGGGAAAAAATTTCCCTCTTTCCTACATACTCTAACTTGAGCCTCACTATCCTCGTAAAAACTCTTCACTGCTTTCAGTAACCTACCTCCTACACCATACACTTGCAACATCTGCCACATTGCCCCCCTATCCACCCTGTCATACGCCTTTTCCAAATCCATAAATGCCACAAAGACCTCTTTAGCCTTATCTAAATACTGTTCACTTATATGTTTCACTGTAAACACCTGGTCCACACACCCCCTACCTTTCCTAAAGCCTCCTTGTTCATCTGCTATCCTATTCTCCGTCTTACTCTTAATTCTTTCAATTATAACTCTACCATACACTTTACCAGGTACACTCAACAGACTTATCCCCCTATAATTTTTGCACTCTCTTTTATCCCCTTTGCCTTTATACAAAGGAACTATGCATGCTCTCTGCCAATCCCTAGGTACCTTACCCTCTTCCATACATTTATTAAATAATTGCACCAACCACTCCAAAACTATATCCCCACCTGCTTTTAACATTTCTATCTTTATCCCATCAATCCCGGCTGCCTTACCCCCTTTCATTTTACCTACTGCCTCACGAACTTCCCCCACACTCACAACTGGCTCTTCCTCACTCCTACAAGATGTTATTCCTCCTTGCCCTATACTCGAAATCACAGCTTCCCTATCTTCATCAACATTTAACAATTCCTCAAAATATTCCTTCCATCTTCCCAATACCTCTACCTCTCCATTTAATAACTCTCCTCTCCTATTTTTAACTGACAAATCCATTTGTTCTCTAGGCTTTCTTAACTTGTTAATCTCACTCCAAAACTTTTTCTTATTTTCAACAAAATTTGTTGATAACATCTCACCCACTCTCTCATTTGCTCTCTTTTTACATTGCTTCACCACTCTCTTAACTTCTCTCTTTTTCTCCATATACTCTTCCCTCCTTGCATCACTTCTACTTTGTAAAAACTTCTCATATGCTAACTTTTTCTCCCTTACTACTCTCTTTACATCATCATTCCACCAATCGCTCCTCTTCCCTCCTGCACCCACTCTCCTGTAACCACAAACTTCTGCTGAACACTCTAACACTACATTTTTAAACCTACCCCATACCTCTTCGACCCCATTGCCTATGCTCTCATTAGCCCATCTATCCTCCAATAGCTGTTTATATCTTACCCTAACTGCCTCCTCTTTTAGTTTATAAACCTTCACCTCTCTCTTCCCTGATGCTTCTATTCTCCTTGTATCCCATCTACCTTTTACTCTCAGTGTAGCTACAACTAGAAAGTGATCTGATATATCTGTGGCCCCTCTATAAACATGTACATCCTGAAGTCTACTCAACAGTCTTTTATCTACCAATACATAATCCAACAAACTACTGTCATTTCGCCCTACATCATATCGTGTATACTTATTTATCCTCTTTTTCTTAAAATATGTATTACCTATAACTAAACCCCTTTCTATACAAAGTTCAATCAAAGGGCTCCCATTATCATTTACACCTGGCACCCCAAACTTACCTACCACACCCTCTCTAAAAGTTTCTCCTACTTTAGCATTCAAGTCCCCTACCACAATTACTCTCTCACTTGGTTCAAAGGCTCCTATACATTCACTTAACATCTCCCAAAATCTCTCTCTCTCCTCTGCATTCCTCTCTTCTCCAGGTGCATACACGCTTATTATGACCCACTTCTCGCATCCAACCTTTACTTTAATCCACATAATTCTTGAATTTACACATTCATATTCTCTTTTCTCCTTCCATAACTGATCATTTAACATTACTGCTACCCCTTCCTTTGCTCTAACTCTCTCAGATACTCCAGATTTAATCCCATTTATTTCCCCCCACTGAAACTCTCCTACCCCCTTCAGCTTTGTTTCGCTTAGGGCCAGGACATCCAACTTCTTTTCATTCATAACATCAGCAATCATCTGTTTCTTGTCATCCGCACTACATCCACGCACATTTAAGCAACCCAGTTTTATAAAGTTTTTCTTCTTCTCTTTTTTAGTAATTGTATACAGGAGAAGGGGTTACTAGCCCATTGCTCCCGGCATTTTAGTCGCCTCATACGACACGCATGGCTTACGGAGGAAAGATTCTTTTCCACTTCCCCTGGGCTATTATCTTCATTCAGCAAGCTTGTGTTGTGTGTGAGTGTGTGGCTTCTAATTGTTCTGAGTCAGGGTCAGCAGCTGTCAAACTGACATATTGTCTCATTACTCACTCCCCCTACTGCCTGTCAAAACAATGGGGTCAGATGTTCACTTCCCCTCCATCTTGTCTAATTATCTTTCTCCCTCATTCTCTCTCTCATTCTCTCTTTCTCCTTCATTCTTCTTTCTCCTTCATTCTTTATTCTCCTTCATTCTTCTGGTATCCTGGGCATTTCTTTTAGTCACAAACTCCTCAAAACCATGAAATTGATCTTCACTGACACTTCCATTTGTGTTAGATCACTTGGGAAGAGTAGTTCCAGATTTGCCAGGAAGTCGCATATTTCTTACTGCTAGGCATGCTGAACAAGGACTACTGAAATGGCATTGCCACAATGCACCACTGGCTCCCCTATTTTTTTTATATGGTGTACACTGACCATGGAGACCCATTCTCTCACATGTGGGACTTTTTGGTGTTTTCTGTGATGCATTTTATGGTTTAATTGGTTATTTCTTTGTATCATTTGAAGGAAATAAAGATGATTTTGGTTGGTTTCATGACTGGAAGTAGCTTGAAATTGGGCTCAAAGGTACTATTTGATTATTGATAATTTCTGACATTGTTGGTACTTTTAAATTTGGAGGTTCCAACAGTAAAAGAGGTTGAAAAAAATGATCACCACATATTATATCTGTACAATGGCTTCAAGGGACTAATTTGGCAGCATAGGTCTCTGTATAGATTAAGAATACTTTAAGAATTTCACATTGACCAGCCTTCAGTATGTTGAAAGATGCTGTATTGTTAAACAAGATACCAGTAATTACTGTCATATTTTAATTATTCCTGTACAGCGGTACCTCGAATTTTGAACAGCTCCCAACTCGAACAATTACGTAAGTGTATGAACCATACCACGGGTGGGGTTTGAACCCGCGGTCAGAGAGTCTTAAAACTCCAGACCGTCGAGTTAGCCACTAGGCCAGCTAGCTTCAATAAGGTTCATCCAACTAGGTATATTTCTCCACCATAGGTATGGTTTGTTTGCACTCGTGTCATTACGATTTCGTGAGTTATGTTGACGGCTTTGAGGGGACTTGAGCTAGAGTTCGTCACAGCCATGTTATGCGGGAGATTCATCTGTAAAAACTTGCATTTGTGGTCACAGTGGTGCCTATGCTAACCTTCCTATGGTGTAGAAATATACCTAGTTGGATGAATCTTATTGAAGCTAGCTGGCCCAGTGGCTAATGCGATGGTCTGGAGTTTTGAGACTCTGACCATGGGTTCAAACCCCACTCGTGGTATGATTTGTTTGCAGTTGTGTCATTATGATTTCGTGAGTCATGCAAGTGTATTTTTGTAAGTGCTTTTGTAAGTGCATTTTTGGGGGTCTGAAATGGACTGATATAATTTACATTATTCCTTATGGGAACAAATTCGTTTGGTAACGGTACTTGAACAGCCTTCTGGAACGAATTAAGGCCGATATTTGGGGTTCCACTGTATTTGTTTTACATGATGGTAGGAGTGCTGGTGTCTTTTTTTCTGTCTCATAAACACACAAGATAACAGGTATATCTTGCTACTTTTACTTAGGTCACACTACACATGTATGTACATGTTTATGTATATACACTCATCTGAGTTTTCTTTAATTTTAACTTAATAGTTCTTTTTTTATTAATTTTCCTTTCATATCCATGGGGAAATGGAATAAGAATCTTTCCTCCATAAGCCATCATGTTGTAAAAGTTAACTAAATTGCCAGAAGCAGTGGACTAGTAACCCCTTTTCCCATACAGCTTACTAAAAATAAGAAAACCGTCAGTTTTTTCTTTTTGGGTCACCCTGCCTCGGTGGGAAATGGCCAGCGTGTTTAAAGAAAAGATTATTCTGAAGGAGGGGTGGAGATTTGTTTGTTTTTGAACTGTAGTGTCGTCATGCTTTTGATAAGACAGTGACGGAGTGATGATGAAAGTGTTTCTCTTTTTGGGTTGCCCTGCCTCGGTGGGAAATGGCTGGTGTGTTAAAAAAATAATTATTGAGAATCTGTAGTTATTAGGAAATTTAATAGTTAACGAGAAATTTATGGGTTTTACTAGAAAATTGTAAATAATACATTGTGTATACCTCATTGCAGAATGTGATGTTTATTTCCTTGACGGAAGATCAGTTTCGCAAGCTTCGGGTGGTAGCACTCTGCCGGACAAGATTACATGCCTGGGGAATGTCTGGCTTGCACCAGGCACCATGTCTCCGAGCTCTGCTTTGTCACCTACCTTCACTCCTCCTCTCTCAGTACCTTCATGAGAAACCAATGGGTGAGAATTCGCGACAGTTTTTTTTTGTTACCAAAAATCTCAAGTGCTGCCGATTACTAAAATGTCATGGAGTTTTGAAAAAGTTTTTTAATGCCATAAATAAGCCAACATGCAGGTAATAAAACATAATTCAATATCTCAAGGTTTTGCTTGATCTATGTGTTGTTCTTGTATCTTTTCTCTTTTTGAATAAGGGACATGTGAAACACCTGGGTATGTTTATTGACACATGTGGGACACCTGGGTATATTTATTGACATGTGGAACACCTGGGCATCTTCATTCTGAAGACATTACACCAACTAGTGACTTTATTAACTCAGTACAGTGGTGAGCCCTTTATTAAGGCTAAGGGACTGATTACCTTGTTTTCTGCTGTTTCCAGTTTCAACACTTTCAGACAGCCTCGGCACTAATTTAACCACTGGTTGGCTAAACGTCTTCAGAATTAAGATGCCCAGGTGTTGCACATGTCTTATTCATCAACTTGTTGATATTGTACATCTTTATTGCTATGATCTTTTATCTTTATTTTTTCCCTCTAGTACTGACGATGTCTAGCAATTATGAGTTTTTGAATGATGTTTTGATAGAAGTATTAGAACTTTTTGACCTCAGACTGAGACCTTAAGCTGAAGCGGGTCAAAATGTACTGTACAGTAAGTCCTTGACTTACAAACACATTGGGGACTTTCTGTATTGTATATAATGATAATGAAGCTTCTCAACATGTTTGTAAGTCAAGGACTTGCCGTACTTTGCTTCTGTTACTTATTTTAGTGTGTGTGTTTAGTGCCACACTTGTATGTAGAAGAACAAATTAATGTGTTCACTCTCTGGTATATAGATCTATGTTATTGATGCCAGAGTTACTCATGTAGATCTATGTTTTGAGTTCAGCTCCATTATAAGCTGTGATTGGTCAATTTTGGCCTTGATATGAGATAATAGGTCTGTGCAGCGAGTGTGTACAGTATAAAAAAAAAAATCCTGCCATACGTGGTGCATAATGGGAAAAGCAAATCTCTGACCTTGTGTTTGGTTTAAAATACCAACTATAAGTTGTTTTCTAGGATGGTTTTTATAGTTTTATGACTGCTTCTAAGTATCATTCGACTGAATGGAAGACATACTACTGAAATAAAGATGATTTTGGTTGGTTCCAGCACGGAAAGTAGCCTGATAGTGGGCTCAAAGCCAAAATATTTGATTTTGACAATTTTCCTGAGAATGGGTAAGACCTTCCCTACACTCCCTGATCTCTTTTATGAGTTGTTACTAGGTCTGCTTCAAATACTGGGGTGCTCTGACCTATCATTCTTGTTATACAAATAACCCGCACATAAAAGAGAGAAGCTTACGACGACGTTTCGATCCGACTTGGACCATTTACAAAGTCAGTGTGACTTTGTAAATGGTCCAAGTCGGACCAAAACGTCATCGTAAGCTTCTCTCTTTTATGTGCGGGTTATTTGTGCATCGTTCCAGTCACGGTATTGTGCCTTTTTTATTATTCTTGTTATATTTTATTAACCATGAACTAGGGAGACAGGATTAATGAACAGAGAGAAGCTTCCTTTAGCTTTTGGAACATATGCAGTGTTTATTTTGGACTCTTATTTTGAAACTGGATTTTCTTTTTTTTTATAGATTGGCAGCATTACTAACTTCTGTGGACTTCATAGTTCTGATAGTTGAATGGGTGGTTTCTTGTGCTTACTTATTAGAATGAAAGATATAGTAGCAAAATAGCTAAGAATTTGGTCAAATGGAGCAATAGAATTGGCTTAAAATAGTACTCGATATGCACAAAATCGATAATAAATTGTTCCCGGATTGCCAACTTTGCACCTGCGTAATTCCCTAAGTTTTTTCATCATGAAATTTTGTATTTTGGGTGTTATTGGCTTCAGAAAACATTCTCTCCAATTTCAGAATTTTTTTTTATATTCCTGACATTGAAAGTTCAAAGTTCATTGAGTTCAAAGAGTTTTTGTACTCCAGAGCACAGCCATTGGCCAGGCTTGTCTGGTGCTTGCCTGATCACCTAGCCTGCTGATCCACATATCCATCACAACCTAGCTGTAAAAGGATAAATTATTATTATCACACTGGCCGATTCCCACCAAGGCAGGGTGGCCCGAAAAAGAAAAACTTTCACCATCATTCACTCCATCACTGTCTTGCCAGAAGGGTGTTTTACACTACAGTTTTTAAACTGCAACATTTACACCCCTCCTTCAAAAGGATAAAGTTCTCACAAAATGACCAAATGAGAAGAGGAAATGATTGTGATACCACATAGGAAGCTACAAGATGTATATTTAGGGTTATGGTTTTGGGGACTTGCCGAGCTGTTGGAGTGTGAACAGGGTAATATTTTGTCAATGGATTCAGGGAAACCAGTTAGCTGGACTTGAGTCATGGAGGTGGGAAGTACATTACCTGCATTCTAAAGGACGGGTTTGGGATTTTTGTCGTTTGGTGGGACTCTAAACTGTCATATCTGCATGCCTGTGGCAAGACAGTGATAGTGTAAATGATGGTGAAAGTGTTCTTTTTCAGGTCACTCTGCCTTTGTGGGATATGCCCAGTTTGTTGAAAAAAAAATATTTTCAGAAGAAAAAGTTTTGAGTTAAGTGGGCTTGAGCTTTCATAGCCAAATGAGGTGGATCCCATTTGAATAACAGACCAGGAGCTGAGACTCAATCCTGGAAAATTCAAGTAGGTAGGGAGAAAGTAAAGGAATCGCTACAGTAATGTACAGTGGACCCCCGGTTAACGATATTTTTTCACTCCAGAAGTATGTTCAGGTGCCAGTACTGACCGAATTTGTTCCCATAAGAAATATTGTGAAGTAGATTAGTCCATTTCAGACCCCCAAACATACACGTACAAACGCACTTACATAATTACACTTACATAATTGGTCGCATTCGGAGGTAATCGTTAACCGGGGGTCCACTGTATATTAACCAAAGTAAAGCAGGGAGGACCAAGCTAGATGTCAAGGTTTCATTTGACTTTATTTTTAGAATGCCTCATCTGTTGTGTGCTTTTCATCATCAGACACCAACTTTAATTTCATTCATCATTGTAAACTTTGCATAGCTCAAATGAAAAAAAATTGGTTCAGTCATCTAAAATCAGATGGAACTGGTCGGTATAGTAATAATATTAGGTGGTATGCATAATCATGTGGTATTAGACATGAAGGCTCTGAGCAGCAACAGTAAATCTTATGGCAAGTTGGTTCCGCAAGGAGCAGATTTTTTGTATACTGCTGCTCCTCGACTTATGATAGTGTTATGTTCCCACAAACCCATCGTAAGTTGAATAAGAATATATGAATATGAATAGGTAAATAAATAATTACTGTAACTAACTAAATTTGAATCTTCCACATTCCCATCCATACTCAAGACAGCAAGGGTCATCCCGATCCTCAAAGGAGGTGATCCAGCAGAACTAAATACAGTGGAACCTTGATACTCTAACTTAATTTGTTCCAGAAGGGTGTTCGAGTGCAGATCTGTTTTTTTTTGGTTGGCAGTTATCCTTAATCTTCTTATACAAATACATAATATAAAAAAAAGTCAAAAAATGCGAAGAAACATGAAATGGTTTACAGCGAAGTTCTGGCAGGTTGTGTTTTTTTTTTTTTTTTTTTTTTTTTTTTTTACCGAACGAAGCGTTTGAATACTGAATTGTTCAAGTAGGGATCTGTTCAAATACTGAGGTTCCACTGTAACTACAGACTGATATCTAACTTGCCTTTGCTCTCTAAAATCTTTGAAAAAATAATACATAAACAAATCTACTCCTACCTCATATCCCACAACATACTGAACCCCTGCCAGTTTGGGTTGAGGCCGAAAAAATGCACAAACGATGCAGTCATTCAGATGCTTGAATTACTATATAGTACAGCACTTGAAAAAATGAATATCCTCTGGGGCACTTCATAGACCTACAGAAAGCATTTGATACAGTAGACCATAGTATCTTGCACCTAAAACTAGAACATTATGAGGTAAGAGAACACTCCTTCAAATACATAAAATCTTATCTTGGTGATAGACACCAGTATGTATACACAAATGGTGTAACCTCCACTACTCAGCGTCTAGTTGTTGGAGTGCCACAAGGAAGTGTCCCAGGTCCTCTACTCTCTTATCTATGAACAGCAGTGACCTCCCAAATGCATTGACTCCTTGATGATGACCAACAAACTCTCTCTCAGTGTAGACAAGACCCATTTCATGCTTTTTGGAAACGAGCATTAAATATCCACCTTAACATATCGAGAAATGGTTCCCCCATTACAAGACACACTGAGGGCAAATTTCTAGGTCTCCACCTTGACTGTAATCTTAAATTTCAGACCCACATCCAGTATATAACTTAGAAAGTTTCCAAAACAGTAGGTATCTTTTCCAAGATACTATGCGATGTACCCCAAATGGTGCTCGTTACTTTATATCACTCTCTAATATACCCTTACCTCATGTTGCGGCCCCCTACCAAACTAGCGGTTAAATAGTTAACCTGCCGGCCGGCAGTACCACTGGGTATGTCATCAAACCCATTGTGGGGACTGCTGAGCCGGCCTTAGAGCAGTATGTACCTGAACACCTCACGGTACGCATCTAAGCAGTAGGTACCTGAACGCCTAATGGTACACATCTACTGGCTTTAGAAGCAGTAAGTACCTGAACACCTCACGGTACACATCTACTGGCTTTAGAAGCAGTAAGTACCTGAATACCTCATGGTACACATCTACTGGCTTTAGAAGCAGTAAGTACCTGAACACCTCACGGTACGCACTGCAGCAGTAATTACCAAAACACCTTACAGTATAGATCTACTGGCAGTAGAGAGTATTCTCCTGCCCATCTTTTGGTATTCTACTGGCTTCTACTGATTTTAGAAGAGCCGCTCACTGAGTCTGATGGCCTCAGTTACTTGACAGCCGCACTCAGTGAGCTTGCAGTATGGTGTTCTGCTAGTAATTCATCGGACCACCTTGCGGTGTGTCAATTGGTCTTGAAGGCGGTAGATAGTACTCGCCAGACCATCTTACGGTGTACTTCTACCGGCCTTAGAGAGTATTTACAGGACTACCAGTGATGTCTGCGGACTCACCGCCTACGCTGGTCAACTGTGGGCCAGAGTCGCCTGATCCTGTTTTAGTGGGACATTACATGAAGAAAAGGTTGGAGTGTTACACTGAACTGGGCTAGGACCGTAGTGTGACACTTAGGGAAGTATGATGGAGTGGAACACTGAGATATGCTACAGGACCGTAGTGGAACACTGAGAAGAAAAGGGTGTCGTGTGACACTGAAGATGGCCTGGTTGTAGTGTACATTGAATAGTGTCATGTGACTGGTCTCTGATAAGACAGACGCTGTGGGTGATAGTGTGCGACGCAGAGACAAGGGTGTCAAGAGTGACACAGTAGAGATATTGTGTATGACGCAGAGAAAAGGGTGTCGTGTGACACGGAGAGTAGGAGTGTCGTGTGACACAGAGAAAAGGGTGTCTAGTGGACACGGTTGAGCAGGAGTGTCATTACACGGAAGAAAGGGTGTCAAGTGACACAGTTGAGAGGGAGCGTCACAACACACCATGGATAAGTGTCGTGTGAGACACTTGAGTGTCATTAAGGTGTCGTGAGACACAGAGTTGACTAATTTATTATTGTAAATGTTACGTATAATTTATTATTTTAGCATAGATATATATATTATTATTTTAAGATGCTAATAATTTATTATTTTAACATGTATATATATTTTAAATACCTCTAGACCAAAGATTGTGTGTTTTATATAATATTAAAGATTAATTTATTTTAATGTGTATTTATGAATCCCAAACTCTTTATTACAAAATGAGTAAACCTACCATCTTAAAGATTACTTTTTTTGTAATACCTCACCTATGGTATTTGTTCTTGGGGATCTACCATGGCCAATCACCTTAAACCTTGAACCCCTTGACTGTCGCAACCCCAAATCTTGAGATGTCTCCTGGTGTTGCAAAATTTCCGGAAAAAAAAAAATCCCATGAAATGATAGAGAATATTTTCCCGATTGTAATGACACCAAAAGAAAGAAATTTGATGGAAAACTCTCGGAATTACGCTCTCGCGAAGTTAGTGATCTTGGCGATATTTATGAATTGGCGATTTTGCCCATTTTAGCCCTATTTTCGGCTAATTCCATTGTTCAAGTCGATCAAACGCATAGCTATTTCTTTAGAAGTCCATTTTTCCTAGCGATTGAGTAAAAGACACTGCCTATTTACCGATTTCAACTACCCAGTAACGTGGTCAGAAATTTGCAATTTGGCCAATTTCATGAAAATTAAAGAATATGAGTTTCAAAATAGGGTCCAGAACGAACAGTGCAGACATTCCTGGCTCTAAAATAACATTTTCTTTGTTCATCAGTCACGTCACCAGGCCCCTCTGATATTACTCTTGCTTTCTATTTTGAATTTTTATTCAAAAAATAGAAGATTTACCGTTATGCAGACTACTGCAATATTGTAATAATTGTATAAATAATGTCAACCCATTCATGACTGCATATTAGAATGGCTAGTTGGACATTTATTGGAAAACGACATTTGTTTACTTTTGAACATCGGCAAAAATCAAACATTTCCCCTACTTTGAGCTCCATTTCAAGGTTCTTTTCATAGTAAAACCAATCAAAATCACCACTATTTCTATAATATGTTTTCCATTCTATCAAATGAGACCAAGAAAACAAGAATACAACCATAAATACTATACGAAAATAGACCACAAAGTTGGCATTTTAATTAAAAAAAAAAAGATTGGAGTTTTTTTTTTCTCATTATGCACTGCGTACTGCAGAATTTTTTTTGTATGGTGCACACAGACCCATTCTTTCACATGTGGGCCTACCAGCTTTCTACTGCTTGATTTGAAGCCGCTAGAATTTATGAGTATATGTCAAACACGGTGGCTCGTGAGACATATATATATATATGACCGAAACAGTCAAAGGGTTAACCCAACAGAAAGCTATGGTGCAGATGATCACAAACTCCTGTGCCAGACAACACACCCCACCAATCTTCAAGAGCTTGAAATTACTTATACAAAATATACACACCTATTATTGTGCCTACTATATACTGTATACAGAAAATTAAGCTCCAATATCAACCCTCCACTCAAACTTCTAGAGAGCTACAACAGAACACGCATGCATAACACGATGCACAAAACACACTACAACGTCCCTCGTGTCCATCTCTCACTGCAATAATGCAATGCACATAAAGGGCCCGAAGATCTGAAACTCCCTGCCTGAAACAAATCAATTTAGGACTATGCTTAAAAATCATCTCATCTCGCAGTAACAACCATACCCGCATTATGCTGATCTCTAAGCAAATTTGAATCAACTCTCCCAAATGTTTTATTGTCCCTTATCTATTAAACCATTATTACCAACCTAAACATGTATCATAAATTGTACTACGTCATATTAATAATAGAGTAAAATATAGAATATTTGTAATCTAGCACTTTTCACCTGTCTAGACTTAAGTAGCCTTTAAGTATTAGGTTAAGTCTGCTTAAAATGCCTCAGCATGATAGTGGATTTCTTTGTACCAGTCAAATTATGAAATGTAAACACACATTGTAACGTTTGCAAAGAAATAAATCTTTTTTTTTGTTGTTGTTGTTAAATAGCAGTGTTGAAAAATTAAATAAATGAATACAAGTTAGGGACTTGCTGCCTTCATGCTGGGTAATTATCTTAGGTTTCATCTCCAAAGTAATTGCTTTTGCACCACTGTAGAATCAAAATATCTTAAAATGAACCATTGTAAGTCTAGGAGCACCTGTTTTATCTTCTTGACACTACGTATATCTCAAAGGTAGTGATAATATTAAGGCCTCGGTGGGAAACGGCTGATGTATTAAAAAAAAAAATTGTTAGTAAGATCAGTGCATTCATTAATATATTTATAAGAAACTAAAATGCAGACTTTAAGTATTTTGTATTTTACAGTGTATGCATACTTTATATTTGTGAAGTTCTGAACGCGTGTTGGTCATTCATTATAAGGGCTACTGGAGACTCGATCCTCTATCTGCTGTTTTTGATATGTATGTACTAGTCTTTACTAGTTTTTATTTATAATGCATAACATTTGTGCACAGTGAGCAGTGGGGAACAACTAGTGCACAGTCGGTACCTGCAGCAGCTGTGCTCACTGGCTCTACTGCTCAGGTTGGACAGTGTTCTCTGTACTCAGCCAGCACCCATCCATGTAGCCAACCCAGGCACAGGTTGGTACTGTTCTAGATCCTCCTCTTAATTATGTATACCTAACAGGAACTTGTTTTATACTTGCTTGTTGTGTATACCTAACAGGTTTGCCTTATACTTCTTCCTTATGTATACCTAACAGGGATTTGTGTTATAATTCTTCCTTATATATATACCTAACAGAGGCTTGTCTAATACTTCTTGCTTCCCTCTTACCCTCCCCTACTATCTTTTGTTTTTCCTCTCCCCTCTCCTTACTTTACTCTTTCACACATTTCTTCCCCATTTATTCCCTACTTCACCCCTCACACTTCTACCTCTGCTATCCACTCTCTACACCCCCTAATTTTTTTTTTTGAGATAGTGCATTATGGTAATCACTGTTGCATAGATAATTAACTGTTTATACATGTCCATTGTTTTACATGATGGTAGGATTGCTGGTGTCCTTTTTTCTGTCTCACAAACATGCAAGATTTCAGGTACGTCTTGCTACTTCTACTTACACTTAGGTCACACTACACATACATGTACAAGCACATATATACACACCCCTCTGGGTTTTCTTCTATTTTCTTTCTAGTTCTTATTCTTGTTTATTTCCTCTTATCTCCATGGGGAAGTGGAACAGAATTCTTCCTCCATAAGCCATGCGTGTTGTAAGAGGCGACTAAAATGCCGGGAGCAAGGGGCTAGTAACCTCTTCTCCTGTATATATTACTAAATGTAAAAGGAGAAACTTTCGTTTTTCCTTTTGGGCCACCCCGCCTCGGTGGGATACGGCCGGTGTGTTGAAAGAAAGAAGAAAGAACATGTCCATTGCAATTATTCAATGATGATCTTTGATTTGTATTATTAGTTGTAATAATTCAAATAAATATTGCTGTTTTAAACTATACATTGTTGTAATATAGATGTTTTGAGGGGAAGGAATGTTTAAGTGTAATATAGAGAAGGCAGTAGCACTGTCACGAACCTTGCCAGATACACAAACTGAACTTTGGTGAATGGCGTTATCCCAGTATGGCCTATGCTGTATATGTAAAATAAGCTATTTCTGCAGTAAAATATTTTTAAAAAGTTTATAAGGAATGTTTTAATCTAGCTTTCAGTAAGGCTTCTTATACATGATACCTCAATTTACTGGCATTTAGAATGTTGAGAACAATGTCAAGCTAAATAGCTTAGTGGTGAAATATATACTGGAGTTTAGAATGTTTAGAACAGTATCAAGCTAGATAGTGTGACTTTGTAAATGGTCCAAGTCAGACCAAAACACTGTCATAGGCTCCCCTCTCTTATGTGCGGGTTATTTGTGAACTGTAGTGTAAGTGTGCCTCTGGCAAGACAGTGATGGAATGAATGAATGATGAATTTTTTTTTTTTTTTTCGGGCCACCCTGCCTTGGTGGGAAATGGCCGATGTGTTAATAATAAAATATATAATGGTGACTATATGAAGTCCTGGAAATGGGAAGTACAATGCCTGCACTTTAAAGGAGGGGTTTGGGATATTGGCAGTTTGGAGGGATATGTTGTGTATCTTTATATGTGTATGCTTCTAGACTGTTGTATTCTGAGCACCTCTGCAAAAACAGTGATAATGTGCGAGTGTGGTGAAAGTGTTGAATGATGATGAAAGTATTTTCTTTTTGGGGATTTTCTTTCTTTTTTGGGTCACCCTGCCTCGGTGGGAGACGGCCGACTTGTTGGGAAAAAAAAAAAAAATAATGGTGACAGATATCATGATAGATAACCTCGTGGTGAGATTCATAGTTCTCATCAACCAGGTCTGGGGATCAAATCTCCAGCCAGGTAAGAATAAAAAGATAAGAAAATAAGAGTAATTTTTAAGTTAAGGGAAAAAGGTGTTAGACTAGATAAAAGATGTGACTGTTATGCCATTTTATGACATGTTCTCCCATTTTCCAGCTGTTGAATGGAATTGGTTAGACACGCTGTGTACTGCCGTCAGTACTGCCGAAAGTTTGAATAACCGTACTTCCCTGCCACGATCTTTCATTACCAGACATTTTAAACATTCGGGTAAGTTAATTAGATGTAGCATTATTCATAATTCAAATTTTCCACATTGCCATTGCTTTATGTTTGGAAGCAGCATTAGCCCTTTCACTGTTGATCATGTAGATCTACATTATTGATACCAGGGTCCCTCGTGTAGATTTACGGCTTGAGTTCAGCTCGGTCATATAAACTGAGAGTGGTAAATTTTGATTTTGATGTGAGAGAGTGGGTGTGTGCAGGGAGTATGCACAGTATAAAAATAGTGCTTTACGTCATATATGGAAAAGCAAAACTCTGTCGTTTGTTTGGCTTAAAATAGTGACTTTGAGGTGTTCTCTGGGATGTTTTTAATGGTTTTATTGACATCTCTTGGTATCATTTATTAGAATGGAAGACATCCTACTGCATAAAGATGATTTTGGTTGATTCCAGAACCAGAAGTATCTTGAAATAATCCTCAAAATAGTGGAACCTTTCAATTTTTGCTGATTTTCCGTAGGATAGGTAAGGTCCCCGTTCACCATCCCTGGTCTGTTTTATGGGTCTTTACTTGGTCTGATTAAAATATTGGGATGCCATAAACCATAACTGGTAGCTTTGAATCTGTGTAATTCCATAAGTTTTCAATCAAATTTCATACTTTTGGTGTCATTATCTTCAGAAAAAGATTCTCTACTATTTCAGGGGTTTGGCCAGTGAAGGGGTTGATAATCTAGGTTACTCACACTGTCATTATTTTGTTATGTAATTCATGAGTTTAAACATTTTTTTTGATAAATAAGTAGGGGAGACCAGGGCTAGTTGGCACACTTTTTACATTTTTGGTGATGAAAGAAAAACAACAAACGATTTTGGTAATTTTATACTTCCAGTGAAAAATATAAATCTTCCTCTTACTTTTCATAAAATAAAATAAAATAATTTTCTTTCGAAACAAAAGCACAGCATTTTTTAGAAAAAAACATTTCACATGTGCCAACATGCCCCATGTATGTGGTAAGTTGGCACACACTATGTGGTAAGTTGGCACACACTATGTGGTAAGTTGGCACACACTATGGGGTAAGTTGGCACACACTATGGGGTAAGTTGGCACACACTATGGGGTAAGTTGGCACACACTATGGGGTAAGTTGGCACACACTATGGGGTAAGTTGGCACACACTATGGGGGTAAGTTGACATACACTATGGGGTAAGTTGGCACACACTATGGGGTAAGTTGGCACACACTATGGGGTAAGTTGGCACACACTATGGGGGTAAGTTGACATACACTATGGGGTAGGTTGGCACACACTATGGGGTAAGTTGGCACACACTATGGGGTAAGTTGGCACAGCAAATAGTAATAGTAAATTTGGAATATGTAACAGTAAATTTATATACTGATTATTCATAATGTTTCATTTCAAGAATATTCAGTTCCATAGAAACTTAAAAATCTTTTCTTAGTAAAGAAAGAAACCTTTTTTAATAAAAGAAAATTAAAAACTGACTAAGTGTTATCCTAGGTAGTAGGTTGGTAGACAGCAACCACCCAGGGAGGTACTACCGTCCTGCCAAGTGAGCGTAAAATGAAAGCCTGTAATTGTTTTACATGATGGTAGGATTGCTGGTGTCCTTTTTTCTGTCTCATAAACATGCAAGGTTTCAGGTACATATACATCTTGCTACTTCTACTTACAATTAGGTCATGCTACACATGCATGTACAAGCATATATATACACACCCCGCTGGGTTTTCTTCTATTTTCTTACTAGTTCTTGTTCTTGTTTATTTCCTCTTACCTCCATGGGGAAGTGGAACAGAATTCTTCCTCCGTAAGCCATGCGTGTTGTAAGAGGCAACTAAAATGCCGGGAGCAAGGGGCTAGTAACCCCTTCTCCTGTATATATTACTAATTGTAAAAGGAGAAACTTTTGTTTTTCCTTTTGGGCCACCCCGCCTCGGTGGGATACGGCCGGTGTGTTGAAAGAAAGAAAGAAAGAAAGAACTGAGTGTTATACATTCAGTTGAAAATAATTGCACTTCCAGATAATAATTGCACAGAATACTTAACACCTGAGGTGAACTTAATCTAAATCATCATCTGAGTCACAGTTGGGTCATGTATAAAACAATTCTTTTTCAGTGCAGGCTTCGTGGACCCACAACTTGCACATTCTACACTGTATCCATACTTCTCGTAGTTTGGTTTTGGAAAAAGGACCCATACATGCCAAACAGAGACTGTCCTCTTCATCTGAACTTTCCTTGTCACCATGAACACATTTTGATTTCTTTGATTGTTTCTTCTTTGCTTCTTTTGATATCTTTTCCAGTGTCTTTTTCACTGGCATGTCAGCCAAAATGGCAATGCCAATTTGCCCCATATTAATAAACCTAATATAAACCGTTTCATGGGTAAACAATCCTTAAACCCTACATTAAATTGTGGCTAAATTGGATATTTCTCATCTATAACCCCGTACATGTTACAGCAAACAATATCAGCGAATGATAATTTACTTACTGGCATCAAAATCAAATTTTTCCCCACTCCAGTTAAGTACTGCAACGTCTTGGTATGGTAGCTTGTTGGTGAGTGAGGAAGCATGTGGTGATCCTATAATAAATAACAACTCCGTCGAGCGGTAAATATTTGAATTATTACAAGTGTGTCAACTTACCCGTTACCAACTAGTCCCGGTCTTCCCTATACATTCAGTGTCCATTTCTTCAGTTGTATTTACAATAAATTACACTATGGAGGAGCTTTATAAGAGAGTTTACTGTACCATTTAAATGAAATTTTATCTTAATATGTTTATGCCAGATTTTTCAGATGACAAAGAACAGGTGAGCCTTGCATTAGAGAACGATAAATGGGATGAAGAACAAGATGCAGCAGTGATGGCATGGGCCACACAACAGCCAGGAGACTGGCAAGTGGGTGGACGATGCCAAGTGTACATGTGGGGAAGTGGAAGACATGGACAGCTTGCTGAAACAGGTAAGACCTCCTAAACGATGAAGTATAATTCATTTCAGTAAGTTTGCTGACTGAAGGAATTTTTTTTTAACATACCGGCAGTATTCCCCGAGACAGGGTGACCTAAAAAGAAAAACAAAGTTTTTCTTTTTAAATTTAGTAATGTATACAGGAGAAGGGGTTACTATCTCCTTTCTTCTGGAATTTTAGTAGCCTCTTATGACATGTATGGCAAAAGAAGGAATTATATGCATTAATATGTTTTCGTGTGACCATTTGTGGCTCATTGGTAGTGCTATAGGCTCACAACTGAAGGCCCTACAGCAGGCATCGTAAATATGCACATGCATAAGTGTCAGGGCAACTTTTGTATGCAAGATGGTGCTCCTTGCTGTACCACCAAAGACATAAACAATTGGCAAAACGATTTTGAAATTTCGGTCTTTAATGACTGGCCTGGTGATTCACTGGAACCTTATTAAGCATTAGCTTTGTGGCATGAATGTGTCCACTCTCCCTAGTCTCTTGACTGCCATTCAGCAGGTGTGGGAGGGTACTGACTCTTTTATCTTCCTTAGTTTAGCATTATCAATGCCTAGAAGACTTCAGGAATGCATCAAGGGGATGAGTAATACTGTTAAATACTAGGTCTGAGAGCAATGTGTGGTGTGAATGTAATGCAGAGAATCCATAGTTTGGAAATTAGGAGAAGGTGCAGGATTACCAAAACTTTCATCCAGAGGGCTGAGGAGGGGTTGTTGAAGTGGTTCAGACATGTAGAGAGGATGGAATGAACTAGAATGACTTCGAGAGTGGAGGGAAGGCTGGGTAGGGGTCGGCCTAGGAAAGTTGGAAGGAGGGGGTTAAGGTGGTTTCTGTGTGCGAGGGGCTTTAACTTCCAGTAAGCATGCTTGATCATGTTAGATAGGAGCAAATGGAGACAAATATTTTTTAGGACTTGACATGCTGTTGGAGTGTGAGCAAGGTAACATTTATGAAGGGATTTAGAGAAACTGGCAGGCCAGACTTGAGTCCTGGAGAGGGGAAGTACAGGAAGTATGTTGCAGTTTTATAATTATAGTATAAATAACAATAAGACGCAATACTGTGACTGGAACAATACACAAATAACTTACACATAGGAGAGGGGAGCTTACGATGACATTTCAGTCTGACTAGGACCATTTACAAAGTCACACTAACAGAAAGGAGAAAAGGAGGGAGTAGATATAGGACAGCAGACAGGGATGGGACCAGTCCCTGTCTCCTGACCTATATATACTCTCTCCTCCTCTCCTTTCTGTTAGTGTGACTTTGTAAATGGTCCAAGTCGGACCAAAACGTTGTCCTAAGCTCCCCTCTCCTATGTGTGGGTTATTTGTGAATTGTAGTGTAAGTGTGCCTCTGGCAAAACAGTGATGAAGTGAATGATAATGAAAGTTTTTCTTTTTCGGGCCACCCTGCTGTGGTGGGAAATGGTCGATGTGTTAATAATAAAATATATAATGTTCTCATTATTTATGTTATGAGTTTGTGTGCTCATATACAGGACACCTGCTTTATGTTTGATATCATAATGTTGGTAAAATTACCGACTATGTTAAGTAAAAGGACGCGTGTGCAACTAATGCAGCATTTTATTCTGGCAAAGTTCTTGCTCTCCAAGAGCTTTGTCAAGCCATAGCATAATGTAATGGCTTAACAAAGCTCCTGGAGATTGAAACGTTGCCACAATAAAATGTCACATTAGCTGCACATGTGCCCTTTAATGTAACATGTATGTTCGCTCTTGGGGGTGTAATGTTGAGCACGTTTCCTTACATCTGTTGTCCCTGTTCATCTAACAGTAAATAGGTACATAGGTGTTAGTCAACTGTTGTGGATCGCTTACTGGCAAGAGGACCAAAGTATGTCGCTGAAAATAAGCCACACTACTTGGCTTTCTTGGTTTACTCTGGGTTATTTACTGACTTTTGTATATCCATATGATCTTGTGTTACTCTCCATAGGATAAATAAGGGATGCACAGTAAATTAACTGCTTCAATAGCAAAATCTAATCTATTATTTTTGTGAATGTTTTGCAGGTCGGAGTAGTCAGGTTCCTGTATTGACCGAGACTTTAGGGTGTGCACAGCAAGTCGTTTGTGGTCAGAACTGTACCTTCATTGTGACAGCCAATGGATCAGTTCTAGCGTGTGGTGAAGGAAGTTATGGCCGACTTGGTCAGGGAAATTCTGATGACCTTCACACTCCTTCAGTTATATCTACTTTGCAAGGTAGATTTTTCACCTTTAACATCAGTGTTTCCTATAAGCTTGTGTACCAGTTTGCATAATAAAGTATATACAGTAGGACCTCAGTACTCGAACTTAATTTGTTCCAGAAGGCTGTTCGAGTGCCGATCAATTCGGTACTGAACTAATTTTTCCCATAAGGGATATTAATGTTGCAGTTTTGTGAACTATAGTGTAAAGCACCCATCTGGAAAGACAGTGGTGGAGGGAATAATGATGAAAGTTTTTCTTTTTCGGGCCACCCTGCCTTGGTGGGAATCGGTCGATGTGTTAATAAAAAAAAAAAATCATCTCTTTTGTGACTGATTTTCTTTTTGATTGGCTGTCATCACTAATCTTCTTAGGCCCCATGGTGACTTGTTTATACAGATAATATAAAAACCACCAAAAAATGTGAAGAAAATGAAATAATTTACAGAGAAGTTCAGCAGAGTTTTGCACTGAGCAACAGCTGCGGGGAGACGGCACACCTTGTTTTGTCATCTGCTGAGTGATTTCTTTACCGAACAAAATATTTGAATACTGAATCGTTTGAGTTGGGAGCTGTTTGAGTACTGTGGTGTTACTGTATACATATGTATTTATAAGGGTAATTTAAGTAGAATATTTAAGCATCCTCATTTGTCTTTTATATTAATTTAGAAACAATTTGAACATTGTTTTAATACCATAGACACCATAAATCAAGCAATTTTGTTAACTTGGCTGCATATCTCCTTAAAGGAGGTTCTTTGTTGCTGAAGGGCTCCTGATTCAAGGAATTAGAGCTACCCTCCCCTTCCTTGAATTAAACCTGATTGCTATTCATTCTTGTAGTGCTGTATAACCCTTATTGGTTTAGCACTTCCTGATGAATATAGTATGATAATTAGCTTTATATGAATGCTTTCATTTTCTTATTTTGATTTGCAAGTGTTATGAGTAATTTTAGGTAAATTTTTAAACAATCGAAGTATCAGTTTTTGGGAAATAAATTTATATTAACATTTGTTTTAAATTCTGATGAGAATATTGTAAAGTATTTTTAGTTTCTAATTCACATTATAACATGAAAATATTTTTCATAATACTTAAGAAATTACTTGAAATCATAAATTGATAATTAACATTTATTTGTTTTAGGTTTTGTAGTGACACAGGTTGCCACTTCATGTGGCTCTGATGGCCACAGCCTGGCAGTAACAGACAGTGGGGAGGTCTTCTCCTGGGGAGATGGTGATTATGGTAAATTAGGACATGGTAATTCGGACCGTCAACGAAGACCACGACAAATCGAAGCATTCCAAGGACAGGAGGTGGTGCAGTTAGCCTGTGGGTTCAAGCACACAGCAGTGGTAACTGCTGATGGCAAGCTCTTTACCTTTGGCAATGGAGACTATGGAAGATTGGGCCTTGGCTCTACTGCGAACAAGAAACTACCAGAAAGAGTTATGGCTCTGGATGGTTGGGGGATTAGACAAGTAGCTTGTGGCTTAAATCATACTGTGTGTTGTAGTACTGATGGAAATATAGTTTGGGCTTTTGGAGATGGTGATTATGGGAAGTTAGGTCTTGGCAACTCAACATCTAAATCAACTCCTCAGAAAGTGGAGGCAATGTGTGGAATTGGCATTAAAAAAGTGTGTTGTGGTACTCAGTTTACAGTGTTTCTCACCAAAGACGGACGGGTTTACACTTGTGGAATGGACCGTCTCATTGGCCAGCCAGAATCCCGTACGAGAGGCCACAATCGCCCTCAGCAAGTTCCAGCACTTATGAATCATATTGTCGTGGATGTAGCAGTTGGATCTGAACACACATTGTCTCTAACATCTACTGGGGATGTATTTGGATGGGGTGTTAATAGTGATGGTCAGTTGGGCTTGGGACATTCTGCAGCAGTGAGAGAGCCACAGCTTATTCGCACATTATCTGGGAAAGGTATTCGCCAGATCAGTGCTGGTCGCAGCCATAGTGCTGCCTGGACAGCCCATCCTCTTCCTCCTGTTACACCAGGAAATCCAGCACCCACACAACTTGGAATCCCTGCTTCGGTGCCACCACAATATCCTAATCTTCAGTGTGTTTCACGAAGTGCTCTCTGTGCTCGACTACGACTTTTGCACCAATTCAGTGATCTGTTGTATTCGTCGTGGAAACTCATAACTCTCACTCCAGGCACTGATTGCTATGTAGATAATGTTAGTGCTGTTACCTCTGCTGCTGTACGCTCTCTTGTATCACCCAGGGTGTACACGCTTCCTCTGGTACGTTGCTTGGGCCGCACTATGGTTCAGGGACGTAATTACGGTCCCCAGGTGACAGTAAAGAGAATATCTAGTAGAGGATCTCCTTGCAAGCCCATCTTTACTCAGTTGGCTCGACAAGTTGTAAAGCTGAAACCAGCGGACTTGCGGCTCCCATCTCGTGCTTGGAAGGTAACTTGGTGATTTGGGTCAAAAGTGTTAAGTTAGTGTGAAGTCTGTATATATTTTAAATAGGCACACCAGTTTATTTTACTTAAAAATTAAATTTTTTGGATAGGTAAAGTAAACCAATACATATATTGAATTTTTCACCACTACTTATTCAGTAGTAGTATTGTCAGAAATGCACGAGCACAATGGTTCAAATGATCATTCAAGCCTCCAAACTGTAGTATCAGTGCCCAACTGGCAAGACAGTGATGGAGTGAGTGATGGTGAAAGTTTTTCTTCTTTTTTTTGGCCACCCTGCCTTAGTGGGAAATGGCCAATGTGTTAAAAAAGCCCATCTCTGTCTTCATTTGTTAGTATGTAATTTAAACATAAGAAAGGAGGAACACTGCAGCAGGCCTGTTGGCCCATACTAGGCAGGTCCTTTACAATTCATCCTTTAGTAAACTGCACTTAATTCCTTCAGGAGTGCTTGGATGTTGGTGAAAGGCTCTTGATCCTAGGAATTTTAACTACCTTCCCATTCCTTGAATTAAACTTGATTAATTCCCATTCTTCAGGTACTGTATGATCCCTGTGGTTTTAGTGCTTCCCATGATTATAATTGATAATATTGATCTCTCGCACTCAGGCACTGTATACGTGTTTATCTTCTTAAATTGTGAATTATTAAATATTATACAATTTAATGAGAGACTTCTCTAAGCTCTGCATCATTTATAATTCTCACCTGATATTCTCTACTCTGCCTGCTATGATAGCATCTCCCACATTTGTATTTGTCTCTTAAAAACCCTCATTCCCTCACTTTAAATTTCTTAATATTAATTTAACTCCTCACAGTCAGCCTTGATGACTACCAGTAGCCTCACACAAGATAGATATACATAGAAATGCACATCTCTTTGTATATATACACACTGAAGAGGGATTAAAGTATTCATGACTGGTGGTGAACAGATTACATTCAACCTTAATAACCTTATGTAGGCACTAGGCATTAAGCCCCATATTAACCAACCGAGCACCTAGTGTCCTGACTAATAAGAGATGGGCCACAATTAGTGGACAAAGGATCAAGCCTCCATTACTGCATTCACTGAATGACCCATACAGGTTTAGCCATTATTGTTACTGTAATTGATATAAACAATAAACCAGAAAGGGTCATATAACTCTGCAAGAAGAGATGTGCGAGAGTAGGAATGTGCAAAGGTTAGGAGTGCATGAGTGGGCAGGGATATGTGAAGGTAGGGAATACATACAGGTTTAGTGCTTCGTGCAATTCGTTACTTTGATACAGACTTGCCCTGATTGCTTCAGTCCTCTCTCATCCAGGTACATGAACACCTGCTTAGGTCATGGTACAGCTCAAAGCATGCATATACAGGGACTTTTGACTCGTAAATTACTATACTAATATTACATTTGAGAATGGGTTATCTTTACTGTATAAATATGCAGCTAGCATTAGACATTTTGAAATTAACTCTTAGTAAAACCTGTATATAGCATCAGAAGTCCTCATAAATCCTGTGGTAATTCTAATAATAAATTTTAAAATGGCTGTTTTTGATTATATATTGCTAATATTAAATCTGAAAATGGCTAGTGTTTAGTGTTTACTAGAGTAGCCCTTTTATTTTATCTATAGGTAAAACTTGTTGGAGAAGGAGCAGATGATGCAGGAGGAGTGTTTGATGACACCATGACTGAAATGTGTCATGAGCTTGTCACAGGCGCTGTCCCACTTCTCATACCCACACCCAATGCCATATCTGATGCTGGCAATAACCGAGATCGTTTCCTGCTTAACCCGGACCTCGCACAGCCTCATCACTTCATGTGGTTCAAGTTTTTGGGTGAGTGCAGAAGCACCAATAATAGTAGTAGTAGTAGTAATAGGAGGGTGTGAGGCCATGATAGACTGATCCTTTACATTGTGTTTAATTTTGTCTTCTTGTGAGAGTTATTCTTGTGTAAATGATTATGATTTTTGTTTATTGTGCAGATTTAATTTTTTTTTTCTGCAGGTATACTGTTTGGTATTGCTATCCGCACGAAGAAACCACTGGCACTACCCCTCGCTCCATTAGTGTGGAAGCTCCTGGCTGGCATTGCTCCTTCATCAGCAGACTTAGAAGAGGTAAATATTGAATTAGGGAATTAACATTGATGAGCTATAATTAATCTCTACGGGGAAGTGGAAAAGAATTCTTCCTTCATAAGCCATGCGTGTCGTAAGAGGCGACTAAAATGCTGGGAGCAAGGGGCTAGTAACCTGTATAAATTACTAAATTTAAAAAGAAAAACTTGTTTTTCTCTCTAGGTCACCTTGTCTTGGTGGGATGCAGCCAGTGTTTTGAAAAAAAAAAAAATTAAAATTTACCATCTGAGACAGAGACTTCTTAACCTTTTTACGATTACAGACCCACCAATGGATTGCCCAATATGTCCCCATACCCCTTTGCCAGACTGGAAATTGTCATCAGCAGCAATCCTGTTAGGTCTCAGTATGACCTCAAAAGTTGTCAATAGCTTGGTTTTACCTGACATATGGATAGGTATCAACACAACACCTGATAGTTTGTTCTAAACTAGCAACAACTTTTTATTTTTTATTTTTTCAGAGATCGAATTTGATATCCCCATTATGATTCCCATACCCCAAAGGGGTATGGATACCCCGGTTAAGAATCCCTAATCTAAGGTGATGGAAAAAGCATGTAACTGAAGCAAGTGATTTTTTTTGTATATAAACTTTTCAGTTTGTTATACTGATAATGCTTTTATGGTTAATTTGTGTTAATAGAAATTTAACTTTATAAAATGTGTAGGAAAAAGTCTTCAGCATCTATTTTTCTTTTGTTATTTTACTTCAGTGTGCCATTGTACACAATCCAAATATCTGAACTTCAAATATTAGAGAACTCCTGAAAGCCAAAATTGGTTGTAAATTCTATGTAGATAAATTTAGTAATCTAGAATCTTGATTATAACAGAAGTTTCAACATTGACAAAATTTTGTTGGACCTTTTTCACCATCATCTTTTATTATTATTATCTAATTTTTTTAATACGTCACCTGTTTCCCACTGAGGCAAGGTGACCCAAAAAAAAAAAGAAAACTCCAGAAAGAAAGAAAAATTCATTGATCAACACTTTCACCATCACTCATAGATAATCACTGTCTTTGCAGAGGCGCTCAGATACGACAGTTTAGACGTTACTCTAAACAGTCAATATCCCAAACCCCCTTTCAGTGCATTTATATTTGAGCATTTGTATCACCTGTATGCTTATATTTTTGGATTAAAATGGGTTAGTAAATGTGGATTTTACTTCTATGAAAATTCTTAATGAGGATTGAATTTATTAATTTTTCTTGTTATTTATGAATGAAATGCTTTTAGGTTACCACACTGTTATGCAGCAGATATTGTCTGCATCATACCCTTTTATGATGCAGATGACAATATCTGTTGTAGGGGCTCTTTGATGGAGAGACTGTTATGGAGTCTCGCCTTCATATCTGCCCCCTCCTATGCTTAGTTGAGCCTGAGAGCTCAAATAGGACTGAGCTACAGCCTATTCGCGAGAGGGAGTCACGTGGTGTCAGGCTAGTTAGGGAGCCTGCCTATAATATTGCTAGGAAATAGATAAGTATTACACTGTTGACATATCTATGCATGCCACCAACAGATGAAATATTAAGGATTCATTCACTAACCTGCGTTATGGCCATAGTGGCCCCTATGCTTTTCTGCCGCAAAAACACCTCGAATATCGTTGATGATGATTTTTGTGATGGTGGTGGTTGATTAGAAAGAACAATTTGTATTTATAAAGGATTATAACAAAAAGCTTGGTATATAAATTAAAACCACACTACAGAAGGGAGAGAGAGTCATTATTTGAGAGAGACTGCCTCAGTGTACAAATTCAACTTCAAAATTAAACAGATTTTTTTTTTTTCACATTCTGCTTATGTCACTGTCTTATTGTCAGTCTCATGAAAGACTAAATAATAATCTGTAATTATTGATGTAAAGCAACATTGCTTGTTTTGAGTTAATAAAAGTTTTATATTTGCAGGTAGATGTGGAATACATGCAGAGCTTAAGGGCCATCAGAGATATAGATCAAGATGGTGTAACAGAAGATACCTTCCATGATGTAAGACAGAGCTATTAAAGCAAATAATTATACAGAGCAGTTCCAAGTTTTGAATGATTTGCATATCTGGTGTTTGTTTACAAACAAGACATTTATATCCCTGAAGTAATTTTTTTTTTAAACACAATGGTCGTCTCCCGTGGAGGTAGGACGACCTGGAAAAAAAAAAAAAACTTTCACCACCATTCATTCTGTTATTGAAGCAGTTATTCTGTTCAATATGATACTACAAAAAATAATTGTCATGTGTGTCTGTTGTTGCAGATCAGCATTCATAAAAAATATACTTTTGTTAGTATTATGGACCTTTTGCATAAGTGCAAATGATTGTAATTTAAGCATTTGTAAGTCGGCCTCTTTCCCTTACTCCTGTGTGTAATGAAATCTTTTCAGTAAAGAACACTGTATAAATGCATTAACACTGAGGCTAACAAATGCTGATGGCAAAAAGGGAGTTTCATTAAGTGTTTATGCACTTTGGGAAGAGTGTTAGTGATTGAGTTGGAAAATGTTCAAAAGAATTTAGGGAGTTTTGAACCAAGAGAGAGAGAGAGCACACTAATTGTGATAGGGATCTGAATGCTAAAGTGGGAGAAACTGTTGTGTGTAAGTTTGAGATTTTTTATTATTTTTATTATCACGCTGGCCGATTCCCACCAAGGCAGGGTGGCCCGAAAATGAAAAACTTTCACCATCATTCACTCCATCACTGTCTTGCCAGAAGGGTGCTTTACACTACAGTTTTTAAACTGCAACATTAACACCCCTCCTTCAGAGTGCAAGCACTGTACTTCCCATCTCCAGGACTCAAGTCCGGCCTGCCGGTTTCCCTGAACCCCTTCATAAATGTTACTTTGCTCACACTCCAACAGCACGTCAAGTATTAAAAACTATTTGTCTCCATTCACTCCTATCAAACACGCTCACGCATGCCTGCTGGAAGTCCAAGCCCCTCGCACACAAAACCTCCTTTACCCCCTCCCTCCAACCTTTTCTAGGCTGACCCCTACCCCGCCTTCCTTCCACTACAGACTGATACACTCTTGAAGTCACTCTGTTTCGCTCCATTCTCTCTACATGTCCGAACCACCTCAACAACCCTTCCTCAGCCCTCTGGACAACAGTTTTGGTAATCCCGCACCTCCTCCTAACTTCCAAACTACGAATTCTCTGCATTATATTCACACCACACATTGCCCTCAGACATGACATCTCCACTGCCTCCAGCCTTCTCCTCGCTGCAATATTCATCACCCATGCTTCACATCCATATAAGAGCGTTGGTAAAACTATACTCTCATACATTTCCCTCTTTGCCTCCAAGGACAAAGTTCTTTGTCTCCACAGACTCCTAAGTGCACCACTCACCCTTTTCCCCTCATCAATTCTATGATTCACCTCATCTTTCATAGACCCATCCGCTGACACATCGACTCCCAAATATCTGAATACATTCACCTTCTCCATACTCTCTCTCTCCAATCTGATATCCAATCTTTCATCACCTAATCTTTTTGTTATCCTCATAACCTTACTCTTTCCTGTATTCACTTTTAATTTTCTTCTTTTGCACACCCTACCAAATTCATCCACCAATCTCTGCAACTTCTCTTCAGAATCTCCCAAGAGCACAGTGTCATCAGCAAAGAGCACCTGTGACAACTCCCACTTTGTGTGATTCTTTATCTTTTAACTCCACGCCTCTTGCCAAGACCCTCGCATTTACTTCTCTTACAACCCCATCTATAAATATATTAAACAACCACGGTGACATCACACATCCTTGTCTAAGGCCTACTTTTACTGGGAAATAATTTCCCTCTTTCCTACATACTCTAACGTGAGCCTCACTATCCTCGTAAAAACTCTTCACTGCTTTCAGTAACCTACCTCCTACACCATACACCTGCAACATCTGCCACATTGCCCCCTATCCACCCTGTCATATGCCTTTTCCAAATCCATAAATGCCACAGACCTCTTTAGCCTTATCTAAATACTGTTCACTTATATGTTTCACTGTAAACACCTGGTCCACACACCCCCTACCTTTCCTAAAGCCTCCTTGTTTATCTGCTATCCTATTCTCCGTCTTACTCTTAATTCTTTCAATAGTAACTCTACCATACACTTTACCAAGTATACTCAACAGACTTATCCCCTTATAATTTTTGCACTCTCTTTTGTCCCCTTTGCCTTTATACAAAGGAACCATGCATGCTCTCTGCCAATCCCTAGGTACCTTACCCTCTTCCATACATTTATTAAATAATTGCACCAACCACTCCAAAACTATATCCCCACCTGCTTTTATCATTTCTATCTTTATCCCATTAATCCCGGCTGCCTTACCCCCTTTCATTTTACCTACTGCCTCACGAACTTCCCCCACACTCACAACTGGCTCTTCCTCACTCCTACAAGATGTTATTCCTCCTTGCCCTATACATGAAATCTCAGCTTCCCTATCTTCATCAACATTTAACAATTCCTCAAAATATTCCCTCCATCTTCCCAATACCTCTAACTCTCCATTTAATAACTCTCCTCTCCTATTTTTAACTGACAAATCCATTTGTCCTCTAGGCTTCCTTAACTTGTTAATCTCACTCCAAAACTTTTTCTTATTTTCAACAAAATTTGTTGATAACATCTCACCCACTCTCTCATTTGCTCTCTTTTTACATTGCTTCACCACTCTCTTAACCCTCTCTTTTTCTCCATATACTCTTCCCTCCTTGCATCACTTCTACTTTGTAAAAACTTCTCATATGCTAACTTTTACTCCCTTACTACTCTCTTTACATCATCATTCCACCAATCGCTCCTCTTCCCTCCCGCACCCACTTTCCTGTAACCACAAACTTGTGCTGAACACTCTAACACTACATTTTTAAACCTACCCCATACCTCTTCGACCCCATTGCCTATGCTCTCATTAGCCCATCTATCTCCAATAGCTGTTTATATCTTACCCTAACTCCCTCCTCTTTTAGTTTATGAACCTTCACCTCTCTCTTCCCTGATGCTTCTATTCTCCTTGTATCCCATTTACCTTTTACTCTGTGTAGCTACAACAAGAAGGTGATCTGATATATGTGGCCCCTCTATAAACATGTACATCCTGAAGTCTACTCAACAGTCTTTTATCTACCAATACATAATCCAACAAACTACTGTCATTTTGCCCTACATCATATCTTGTATACTTATTTATCCTCTTTTTCTTAAAATATGTATTACCTATAACTAAACCCCTTTCTATACAAAGTTCAATCAAAGGACTCCCATTATCATTTACACCTGGCATCCCAAACTTACCTACCACACCCTCTCTAAAAGTTTCTCCTACTTTAGCATTCAGGTCCCCTACCACAATTACTCTCTCACTTGGTTCAAAGGCTCCTATACATTCACTTAACATCTCCCAAAATCTCTCTCTCTCCTCTGCATTCCTCTCTTCTCCAGGTGCATACACGCTTATTATGACCCACTTTCGCATCCAACCTTTACTTTAATCCACATAATTCTTGAATTTACACATTCATATTCTCTTTTCTCCTTCCATAACTGATCCTTCAACATTACTGCTACCCCTTCCTTTGCTCTAACTCTCTCAGATACTCCAGATATTATCTCATTTATTTCCCCCCACTGAAACTCCCCTACCCCCTTCAGCTTTGTTTCGCTTAGGGCCAGGACAAGGAGTAAATAGTAATGCCAGGACAAGGAGTAAATGGTAATGCCTCGAGTAATGGGGGCCTTTAATTGAATTTTGTACAGAAATATTTTTGATAATAGGTAATACTTCTTTCAGCAAGCTGGCCATATCCCACCTTAGCAGGGTGGCCCAAAAAGAAAAAAGTTTGTCTTTTTAACTTTAGTAATGTATACAGGAGAAGGAGTTACTAGCCCCTTGCTCCCGGCATTTTAGTTGCCCCTTACGGCATGCATAGCTTACAAAGGAAGAATTCTGCTGCACTTTCCCATGGAGACAAGAGGAAATAAACAAGAAGAACTAGTAAGAAAATAGAAGAAAACCCAGCGGGGTGTGTGTATATATATGCTTGTACATGCATGTGTAGTGTGACCTAAGTGTAAGTAGAAGTAGCAAGACGTACCTGAAATCTTGCATGTTTATGAGACAGAAAAAAAGACACCAGCAATCCTATCATCATGTAAAACAATTACAGGCTTCCGTTTTGCACTTGCTTGGCAGGACGGTAGTACCTCCCTGGGCGGTTGCTGTCTACCAACCTACTGCCTGGGAATAGGTAATACATATTTAAAAAAAAAAAAAAAAAAAGATAGCTGGACTTCAGTCCTGGATGTTTGGTGGGGATATTGCAATTTGGAGGGGCATCTAAACTACAGTATTGGAATGCCTCTGGTAATCCAGTGATGGAGTGAGTGATGGTGAAAGTGTTTCTTCTATTTCAAGTCGCCTTACCTCGATGGGAGACTTCAGTGTGATTTAAAAAAAAGTAATTAGAATAATTTGACCCCTTTTAAATTCACAAAAACACTATTGTAGATTTAGCCACAAGCTCCATGAAAAATTAAGGATTCTTCGCAAAAACGTCAGGGTTGACCTATGCATGGAGTCGGGTTATACTTGGGTATACATGGTATTAATTTTTTTTATTTTAATTCAACATTATTTCATGGCAGGTAATTCCTCTGGAGAGCTTTGAGTGCATGAGCATGACAGGAGTAAGAGTCGCTGTAGTGCCAGGAGGCCGGGCAGTGCCACTCACATTCACCAATCGGCAGGAGTATGTCAATCGTACTATTTACTACAGATTGCACCAGATGGACAGACAGGTTCGTGTAAAAATTAAGACTCGAGTATGAGATCTACATGGTGCTCGATGAACCATATGGATTTCCTGCATTTGTACAATTATATTAATACAAAAAAACTTGACTTAGTGGGCTTTGGGAAAATGGGACAAAATCCACCAGGTTGATTTGGAAACAGGGACCCAAGTCCATTAGTTGAGGAATTGTTTTTGTTGTTACTTTCATGGCAAAGCCACTTCATCTTTACTACACTATTACTGGGTACTTGCTTCTTCCTATATGCTTGGTAAAAGTGCACATGTGCAACTAATACGATATTTTGTTGTGGCAATGTTTTGCTCTCCCAGGCATTATCATAATTTCTTGACAGAGTTCCTGGAGAGTGAAATGTTGCCACAAAAAATGTTGCATTAATTGCACACATATTCCTTTACCTATCATTTTGTTGGTAATTCTACCAGCATAATTTCTTCCTATATGCCCGTTAAATGAAGGATTTCTGGTAGTTAGATCTGAAGAAGGCTGCGTTTTATGAGCGTACACCAGCAGAAGGAAAAAAAAAGATGTTCATTTGAGGTAATTTATATATGTATCTTCAGATTGGAGCTGTCAGAGAAGGTATGGCTTGGATAGTGCCTGTACCACTGCTCTCCCTGATGACAGCCTCACATCTAGAACAGCTAGTGTGCGGCCTCCCACACATATCAGTAGCCACTCTCAAGAAGGTTGTGAGGTAAGATACAGTGATCTTCTGTAATTACTTAGGGCCCATACATGAATTACCTGCATGTAGGAGAGAGGAGCTTATGACAACCACTTAGTTACACTTTATAAATGGTCCAAGTTGGACCAAAACGTCGTCATAAGGTTCTCTCCTATACGCAGGTTAGTGTGTGTGTGTGTGTGTGTGTGTGTGTGTGTGTGTGTGTGTGTGTGTGTGTGTGTGTCTTTGTGTGTCTGTGTGTGTCTGTCTGTCCATATATATCTGTATCTATCTATTGTACCCTTTTGTTTGTTACTCATGGCCCTTTAATGTTAATTTTCATGTTAGTACAGATTCTGGTGATGGGTTGTTGATCTTGGGAATTGCAGTATTCTACCATTCCTTGAATCAAGCGTGAATACCTTTTATCAGAACTTAAAAAAGGTACATACATTTACTGTCTGCATGGAGCCATTTAAGCATTTGGACTATTGGGAACACCTTAGAGTACTTTAAATATACTCCCTGAATGGATGGATGTTTTCTTAACAAACCGATCGTATCCCACTGAGGCAGCTTGACCTAAAAAAGAAAAACTAAAGTTTCTCTTTTTAATTTTAGTAATGCATGCAAGAGAAAGGGTTATCAGCCCCTTGCTCCCGGCATGTTAGTCGCCTCTTACGACACACATGGCTTATGGAGGAAGAATTCTGTTTCACTTCCCCATGAAGATAAGAGGAAATAAACAAGAACTAATAAAATATAGAGGAAAACCCAAAGGGGTGTGTATACACACACAAGTTGGCCGTCTCCCACTGAGGCAGGGTGACCCAAAAAGAAAGAAAATCCCCAAAAAGAAAATACTTTCATCATCATTCAACACTTTCACCTCACTCATAAATAATCACTGTTTTTGAAGACGTGCCCAGACACAACAGTTTAGAAGCATGTATAAAGATATATAACATATCCCTCCAAACTGCCAATATCCCAAACCCCTCCTTTAAAGTGCAGGCATTGTACTTCCCATTTCCAGGACTCAAGTCCAGCCATATAAAAATAACCAGTTTCCTTGAATCCCTTCACTAAATATTACCCTGCTCACACTCCAACAGTTTGTCAGGTCCCAAAAACCATTAGTCTCCATTCACTCCTATCTAACATGCTCACGCACGCTTGCTGGAAGTCCAAGCCCCTTGCCCACAAAACCTTCTTTACCCTCTACCTCCAGCCTTTTCGAGGATGACCCCTACCCCGCCTCCCTTCCCCTACAGATTTATACGCTTTCCATGTCATTCTACTTTGATCCATTCTCTCTAAATGACCAAACCACTTCAACAACCCCTCTTCAGCCCTCTAACTAAAATACTTTTATTAACTCCACACTTTCTCCTAATTTCCACACTCCGAATTCTCTGCATAATATTTACACCACACATTGTCCAACCACCTCCTCGCTGCAGCATTTACAACACTAGCTTCACACCCATATAAGAGTGTTGGTACCACTATACTTTCATACATTCCCTTCTTTGCCTCCATAGATAACTTTTTTTTGTCTCCACATATACCTCAATGCACCACTTGCCTTTTTTCCTTCATCAATTCTATGGTTAACCTCATCCTTCATAAACCCATCCGCTGACATGTCAACTCCCAAATATCTGAAAATATTAATTTCTTCCATACTCCCTCTCTCCAATGTGATATCCAATTTTTCTTTATCTAAATCATTTGATAACCTCATCACCTTACCCTTATCTATGTTCACACCCTCCCAAACTCATCCACTAACCTTTGCAACTTTTCTTTAGAATCTCCCAAAAGCACAGTATCATCAGCAAAAAGTAACTGTGTCACTTCCCATTTTGTATTTGATTCCCCATAATTTAATCCCACCCCTCTCCCCAACATCTTAGCATTTGCTTCTTTTACAACCCCATCTATAAATATATTAAACAACCATGGTGACATTACACATCCCTGTCTGAGACCTACTTTTACTGAGAAGTAGTCTCCCTCTCTTTTACACACCCTAATGTAAGCCTCACTATACTTATAAAATCTCTTTATAGCATTTAGTAACTTACTACGTATTCCATACACTTGTAACATCTGTCACATTGCTCCCTTATCCACTTTATCATATGCCTTTTCTAAATCCATAAATGCAATGAAAACTTCCCTACCTTTATCTAAATACATCGCCTACCCACTCTAAAGCCTCCTTGCTCATCCACAATCCTACTTTCTGTCTTACCTCTAATTCTTTCAGTAATAACTTTACATGCTCTCTGCCAATCCCTAGGTACCTTCCCCTCTTTCATACATTTATTAAACAGAAACACCAACTACTCCAACACTATATCCCTCCCCCCTGCTTGTAACATTTCTGTCATGATCCCATCAGTTCCAGCTGCTTTACCCCCTTTCATTCTATGTAATGCCTCACGCACCTTTCCCACACTCACATCCTGCTCTTCTTCACTCCTAAAAGATGTTAAACCTCCCTGGCCAGTGCATGAAATTACCACCTTCCTTTCTTCTTCGACATTTAAAGTTCCTCAAAATATTTCTGCATCTACCCAATACCTCCTGCTCCCCATCTACTAACTCCCCTACTCTGTTTTTAACTGACAAATCCATTTGTTCCCTAGGCTTTAACTTGTTTATCTCACTCCAAATTTTTTTCTTATTCTCTACAAAATTTCTTGACAGTGCCTCTCCTTTTACACTCTCACCACTCTCTTCACCTTTCTTTTACTCTTCATATACTCTGCTCTTCTTATAACACTTCTGATTTGTAAAAACCTCTCATACGCTATCTTTTTCTCTTTCATTACACCCTGTACTTCATCATTCCACCAATCACTCCTCTTTCCTCCTGCACCCACCCTCTTATAGCCAGAAACTTCTGCCCCACATTCTAATACTGCATTTTTAAAACTATTCCAACCCTCTTCAACCCCCCCCCATCCTTTCACTACTCATACTTGCGCTAGCGTACCTTTCTTCCAGTAGTTGCTTATATCTCACCCTAACTTCCTCCTCCCTTAGTTTATACACGTTCACCCCTCTTACTTGTTGCAATTTTCTTTTTGTCCCACCTACCTCTAACTGTAGCTACAACTAAATAATGATCCGATATATGAGTGCCCACCTACAAACATGTACATCCTGAAGCCTACCGATGAACCTTTTATCCACCAATACATAACCTAACAAACTACTTTCATTATGTGCTATATCATAACGTTTATACTTATTTATCCTCTTTTTCATAAAATATGTATTGCTTATTACCAAACCTCTTTCTTCACATAGCTCAATTAAGGCTCCCCATTTTCATTTATGCCTGGCAAGCCAAATTTACCTACTACTCCCTCCACAACATTTTTACCCACTTGAGCATTGAAATCCCCAACCACAAGTACTCTCGCACTTGGTTCAAAACTCCCTATGCACTCACTAAACATTTCCCAAAATCTCTCTCTCTCCTGTACACTTCTCTTCTCCAGGTGCATAAATGCTTACTATAACCCACTTTTCACATCCAACCCTTATTTTACTCTACATAATCCTTGAATTAATACATTTATATTCCCTCTTTTCCTGCCATAGTATATCCTTCAACATTATTACTACTCCTTCTTTAGCTCTAACTCGATTTGAAACCCCTGACCTATTCCCATTTATTCCTCTCCACTGAAACTCGCCCACCCCCTTCAGCTTTGTTTCACTTAGTCAGGATATCCAGCTTCTTATCATTCATAATACCCACAATCATATCTTTCTTATTCGCACAACATCCATGCACATTCAGACATCCCACTTTGACGGTTTTCTTCTTTTTCTTTTTAGTAGGCTATACGGAAAAAGGGATTACTAGTCCATTGTTCCCGGCATTTTAATTGACTTTTACAACATGCGTGGCTTATGGAGGAAAGATTCTTATTTCACTTTCCCATGGATATAAAATGAAAAGCAATAAGAACAAGAACTTTCTTTCTTTCAACACACTGGCCGTATCCCGCCGAGGCGGGGTGGCCTAAAAGGAAAAACAAAAGTTTCTCCTCTTACATTTAGTAATATATACAGGAGAAGGGGTTACTAGCCCCTTGCTCCTGGCATTTTAGTCGCCTCCTACAACACGCATGGCTTACGGAGGAAGAATTCTGATCCACTTCCCCATGGAGATAAGAGGAAATAGACAAGAGCAAGAACTAGAAAGAAAATAGAAGAAAACCCAGAGGGGTATGTATATATATACTTGTACATGTATGTGCAGTGTGACCTAAGTGTAAGTAGAAGTAGCAAGATGTATCTGAAATCTTGCATGTTTATGAGACAGAAAAAAGACACCAGCAATCCTACCATCATGTAAAACAATTACAGGCTTTCGTTTTACACTCACTTTGCAGGACGGTAGTACCTCCCTGGGTGGTTACTGCCTACCAACCTACTACATGTATATACAGTATATATCTTATTTCTTCTTTCAACGCACTGGCTGTATCCCACCAAAGCAGGGTGGCCAAAAAAAGAAAAACAAAAGTTTCTCTTTTTAACTTTAGTAATGAATACAGGAAAAGGGGTTACTAGCCCATTGCTCCTGGCATGTTAGTCGCCTCTTACAATATGCATGGCTTACAGAGGAAGAATTCTGTTCCACTTCCCCATGGAGATAAGAGGAAATAAGGAAGAACTAGTAAGAAAATAAAAGAAAAACCAGAGGGGTGTGTATATATACGCTTGTACATGCATATGTATTGTGACCTAAGTGTAAGTAGAAATAGGAAGACGTACCTGAAATCTTGCATGTTTGAGATGGAAAAAAAAGACACCAGTAATCCTACCATCATGTTAGACAATTACAGGCTTCCTTTATACCAGTGTTATTCACTAATTTTTGCAAGAGAGCCACTTTGATTAAACACATTGATTGAGAGAGCCACAGCTACTGCAAGTTAGCGTAACTCAACTAAATTAAGTAGTACTGAGCTGCTAGTGCAATATAGTAAACGAGAAAAATTAGACATAGTAATATTAGCCTGCATATCTTGTTATTAATAGTGGCTCGCAAGCCGCGCAATGAATACCACTGCTTTATACAATCACTTGGCAGCACAGTAGAACCTCCCTGGGTGGTTGCTGTTTACCAACCTACTGCCTGATTTTGTTATTGTTATAAAGCACTGTGGCGAGGGTGTTCCATAAATGTGTATGGTGTCAGTGTTTTGGGTGGGTGGTCAGAGTTACACATTTCATGTGTGTCCATTGGCTGTTGATACTTGTTCATCTGGTATTATGCATATGATTATGAAGTGCTTTCCCCACAGTGCAAACACCTCACATTGTGTGCAAGTTGTCCTCAAGTTGGTGCAGTAGAATACATAACTGCAACACTCCCATCCTTGTGCAACATACTTTTTCTAAGAAGAGTGAATAACACTGTGAGTGAAGGCATATCAAGAGAATATTTTTCTTCAGTTACCCCTCCAGTAATACTATACTGTACACAGCTTCTCTGGTGTTGGACTAGAGAAAACACAATTCTTGCTCTCTCTACTATAATCCACTCGGCCACTACAACCTCATGACTCGTGAAATCGTAATGACACAATTGCAAACAAACCATACCACGGGTATTTGTCATATGTATGCCATATTTGTGTCAATTTGTTCCACTGTGGTTGTATGTATTTTGTTTATATGATATGTAGCGTGTTTCTTGTATAATTTTGAAAAAATGTCAGATGAGTTAATGAAAATTCTACAATAACGTTATAATATGAGACATTTAAAGCGCCTGAGAGGTTTTGTTATTGTTATAAGTTTCTTTTTCAAGCCACCCTGCCTTGGTGGGAGATGGCTGATGTGTTAATAAAAAAAATTATTATAATTATTATTGCTGCTGCTTCTTCAACACTAGTGAGACAATTATTTTAATACACAAATAACCCACACATAGAAGAGAGGAGCTTATGACGACGTTTTGATCTTAGTTGGACGATTTACAAGTTGGACTGAAACGTCATTGTGAGCTCCTCTCTTCTATGTGCGGGTTATTTGTGTATCGTTCCAGTCACGGTATTGTGCATTTTTTTGTTAGTGATTTTAATATTCCTGCACGCTAGCACAGTGTGTAAGTTTATTTAGGTACAGGTACACACAAGTACAATTATCAGAGTATATACAGTGGACTCCCGGTTTTCGTCCTTAATCCATTCCAGAAGGTCAGTCAAAATCCGAAATGGACGAAAACCGAAGTAATATTTCCTGTAAGAAATAATGTAAATCCAGTTAATCTGTTCGACACCTAAAAATATTAACAAAAAATACGTTTTATAGAGAATAACTATAGTTTTACATACAGAAAACAATGGGAAATAAATATAATGTACATGACTAATTTTAGTGGATAAATGAACATTTAAATCACTATTACATACATTTATTGAAGACTCTTGTTGGTGTATGGAAGACGACGAGGAGGGGAGAGGGAGGAGAGGTTATTGTTTGGAAGGGGAAATCCCCCTCCATAGGACAGGTATCAAAGCTGTATCTGGGGTTACTTCCTTTGTTTGTCTTTTACTGGCATTAGGACCAGCTTGAGAGTCACTGGACCCCTGTCACACAAGCTTTTTCTTGAATGCTATCATGTTTCTCACCTTCTTTACCAAAGGGCTGGCACTAGAAACTTTCTTTGGCCCCTTGGTGGCTTATTTTGCAGGTGCACTCAATAAACAAGCTCAAAAAATAATGAATTATTACAAAATGTTTCAAATGAATGTGTGGAGTATTGCTCACTGAACCAGTGACAGAGGCAGACTGAGTCACGTGTGTGAGCATCCGCGTCCCAGGCAGGTGGACGTGTCTGATATGGACGATTTCCGAGTGGAGGTACGAATCCTGGGGTAAAATTTCGCCCCAAAAAAAGTGGTAGAAATCCGAATTGTACGATATCTGCACCAGATGAAATCCGGGGGTCCACTGTATATAAAATGCACATTAATTTTAAAACACTTGAAATTTTGGAAAGATTTTAGACATAATCGAGAGACGCTGAGTTCACAGAGGAGGTAAACAATCAGTGGCGCACAGACATTGTAAGAGCGAATGAGGGAGCCGTATAAAATTTTTGGTTATAATATGAAGTGTCCATTTAGCGAATTGCAGTAAAGGAGCGCCCTCCTGTATATAAATTAGCATGGTGTTGATTTTCAGTTTTCTAGGAATGAATTTTCTGTACAAATAGAAAGCCTACTGTATAAATTTGCTGTACCTCTTGGAAAGAAATGTGAAGAATTCTTTACACTGTTTTACTAAAATTATTATTCATGGAGTGTTAAGCCCATAGGGGTCATATAGCACCTGAGGGAATGGGAGGTCTTCAAACTATTCAAGGATTTAGAGCACAATTTCATAAATCAAGAGTCCCTCACCAGTATCAAGGAACCTTCCTTGAGAGCATTTTACTACAAATATTGATACAAAAAAATGGTTTTGTTGCTCCTAAGCCTTGTGTGTGATGTTTTTAACAAAGCATATATATCAGCCTGATCTCAATCAATGAATTTTTTGTACAAATTTTTGTCTTTTCTAGATATCGTGAGGTGGATGAGCACGATCCTCTTGTGGTATGGTTGTGGTCAATCCTGGAGTCGTTTAGCCCCTGTGAGAGAGTTCTTTTTGTAAGATTTGTTTCTGGCAGGTCACGGCTTCCAGCCAACTTGGCTGACCTGTCACAACGCTTCCAGGTATGCTAGTGGCATATCACTCAAATCAGTATTATTGCTAAATCTGAATACAAGTCATTGACTAATATGTAAATTTTTGGGCCCTCTTGTTTTAGTAATTTTTTTTGTTTTTACCCTAATAAGAACATAAAGAATGTAAAAAAGAAGGAACACTGCAACAGGCCTACTGGCCTATGCAAGGCAGGTCCAATTCTCCCACTGGCTTAAGCCAACTTCCTTGACCTAGGCAGGTCAGTCACGTCACTTAAGGGAGGAACACTGCATCCAACCTAGTAGCACAAGCTAGTCGGGTCCAACTCTCGCCCACCCACACCCACTCGTGTATTTATCCAACCTATTTTTAAAACTACACAACGTCTTAGCTTCTATGACGGTACTCAGGAGTTTGTTCCACTCATCCACAACTCTGTTACCAAAACAGTGCTTTCCTATATCCTTCCTGAATCTGAATTTTTCCAATTTAAAACCATTGCTGCGAGTCCTGTCAATGTTAGATATTTTTAGCATGCTATTGACATCCCCTTTATTAATTCCTGTTTTCCATTTATACACCTCAGTCCTATAATCCCTAATTCTATGCCTTTCTAGAGAGTGCAGATTCAGGGCCCTCAGTCTATCCTCATAGGGAAGATTTCTGATACATGGGATCAACTTTGTCATCCTCCTTTGTACGTTGTCCAGTGCATTTATATCCATTCTGTAATACGGTGATCAAAACTGTGCAGCATAATCTTAATGAGGCCTAACCAAAGATATATAGAGTTGAAGAAAAACCTGAGGACTTCTGTTATTTATACTTCTTGCTATGAAGCCAAGGATTCTGTTAGCTTCATTGTGAACACTTATGCACTTTTGTGTTGGTTTCAGGTTACTGCTAACCAGAACTCGTAAATCCTTTTTGCAACCCATAATATTAAGATCTACATTATGTAGTTTATATGTAGCATGGTTATTTTCCTGTCCAACATTTAGGACTTTGCATTTGTCTATATTAAACTGCATCTGCCACTTCTCCGACCGCTGCATCAGTCTATTCCAATCATCCTGGAGTCTCTTTAATGTCCTCATTAGAAATGTATTGAATGGCCTGTTTTGGTGTCATCAGCAAATTTGCTTATGTCGCTATTTATTCCCTCATCTATGTTGTTTATGTAAAATGTGAACAACAATGGGCCCAACACTGACCCCTGTGGAACACAGCTTGTGATGTGTCCCCATTCTGATTTCTCCCCATTTATGCAAACTCTCTACTGTCTATTTGTCAACCATGCCTCTACCCAGGAAAAAATTTCTTTTATTCCATGTGCCTTAAGTTTCCTCAACAGCCTCTGATGTGGCACTCTATGGAAAGCCTTACAAACCAACAAGACAGGGTAACCCAAAGAAGGAAACACATTCATCATTTGTTAAGTAACTGTTTTACCAGTGGTGTAAAGGCATAACAAATCAAATAGCCCTCTGAATCTCATTCCAAGTGAATTCGAGGGAAGGCACTGTATATACTGCCTCCAGAACATCAGTTGGGCTAATCCGCTTTCCTGAATTCCTTCAGAACTGTTACCTTGCTCACAGCAAGTTAAATCCTAAAATCACTCGTCTCCACTCATCCTGATGTAACAGGATTGAAAATACCTGTTGCATAATTTTTTTTTTTATTACACCTGCCATATCCCACCAAGGTAGGGTGACCCAAAAACAGTTGGCTCATAATTTCTATAAATGTGTGTATTAATGGGGTAGTGAGTTGAAATTTTACTTCACTAAGCCATGTGTAGTATTTAAGGTTACTAAAATGCCAGGAGAAAGTGACTAGTAACACCTTTCTATGCCAGTTACTAAGAAGATGAAGGAAGTTTTGAAGATTGGGTTGAGTGTGCGTGGGTGTACAGGTGAGAATTTTTCACGTTATGGATGAAAAGAAGCTGGATGTTGTAGCATTAAGTGAAACAAAGCTAAAGGAGGTAGGCGAATTTTTAATGGGGAGAATTAACTGGGACTAGATTGGGTGTATCAAAGATCAGAGATAGAGGAGTAGCAATATTAAATGATCAGCTATAGACAGAAAATGTTGTAATTGTATAAATTCAAAAATCATGTGGGTTACTATAAAAGTGGGATGGGAGAAATAGGTTATAGGGTAGAGGAGAGAGATTTTGGATTATGTTTGATTGGAGTGGCAACAAGTGTTTTTTAATTTGTGCTATTGTAGTGTGAGTAAGGTAACATTTATGAAGGGATTTGGGAAGCCTGGTTAGCCTGACTTAAGTCCTGGAGGTGAGGTCAGTACCTGAACTCTGAATGTGAGGGGTAGGGATGTTGCATTTCGGAGGGTCATCCGAATTACATCAGTTATATCAAGTCTGGTTAGCTGGACTTAGTCCTGGAGGTGGGAAGTACAGTGCCTGTACTTTAAAGGAGAGGTTTGGGATATTGGCTGTTTGGAGTGACATCTAAAGTGTCGTGTCTGGGCACTTCTGCATAGACAGTGATTATACATGATTATTTATTTTATTATCACACCGGCCGATTCCCACCAAGGCAGGGTGGCCCGAAAAAGAAAAACTTTCACCATCATTCACTCCATCACTGTCTTGCCAGAAGGGTGCTTTACACTACAGTTTTTAAACTGCAACATTAACACCCCTCCTTCAGAGTGCAGGCACTGTACTTCCCATCTCCAGGACTCAAGTCCGGCCTGCCGGTTTCCCTGAATCCCTTCATAAATGTTACTTTGCTCACACTCCAACAGCACGTCAAGTATTAAAAACCATTTGTCTCCATTCACTCCTATCAAACACGCTCACGCATGCCTGCTGGAAGTCCAAGCCCCTCGCACACAAAACCTCCTTTACCCCCTCCCTCCAACCCTTCCTAGGCCGACCCCTACCCCGCCTTCCTTCCACTACAGACTGATACACTCTTGAAGTCATTCTGTTTCGCTCCATTCTCTCTACATGTCCGAACCACCTCAACAACCCTTCCTCAGCCCTCTGGACAACAGTTTTGGTAATCCCGCACCTCCTCCTAACTTCCAAACTACGAATTCTCTGCATTATATTCACACCACACATTGCCCTCAGACATGACATCTCCACTGCCTCCAGCCTTCTCCTCGCTGCAACATTCATCACCCACGCTTCACACCCATATAAGAGCGTTGGTAAAACTATACTCTCATACATTCCCCTCTTTGCCTCCAAGGACAAAGTTCTTTGTCTCCACAGACTCCTAAGTGCACCACTCACTCTTTTTCCCTCATCAATTCTATGATTCACCTCATCTTTCATAGACCCATCCGCTGACACGTCCACTCCCAAATATCTGAATACGTTCACCTCCTCCATACTGTCTCCCTCCAATCTGATATTCAATCTTTCATCACCTAATCTTTTTGTTATCCTCATAACCTTACTCTTTCCTGTATTCACCTTTAATTTTCTTCTTTTGCACACCCTACCAAATTCATCCACCAATCTCTGCAACTTCTCTTCAGAATCTCCCAAGAGCACAGTGTCATCAGCAAAGAGCAGCTGTGACAACTCCCACTTTGTGTGTGATTCTTTATCTTTTAACTCCACGCCTCTTGCCAAGACCCTCGCATTTACTTCTCTTACAACCCCATCTATAAATATATTAAACAACCACGGTGACATCACACATCCTTGTCTAAGGCCTACTTTTACTGGGAAAAAATTTCCCTCTTTCCTACATACTCTAACTTGAGCCTCACTATCCTCGTAAAAACTCTTCACTGCTTTCAGTAACCTACCTCCTACACCATACACTTGCAACATCTGCCACATTGCCCCCCTATCCACCCTGTCATACGCCTTTTCCAAATCCATAAATGCCACAAAGACCTCTTTAGCCTTATCTAAATACTGTTCACTTATATGTTTCACTGTAAACACCTGGTCCACACACCCCCTACCTTTCCTAAAGCCTCCTTGTTCATCTGCTATCCTATTCTCCGTCTTACTCTTAATTCTTTCAATTATAACTCTACCATACACTTTACCAGGTACACTCAACAGACTTATCCCCCTATAATTTTTGCACTCTCTTTTTTCCCCTTTGCCTTTATACAAAGGAACTATGCATGCTCTCTGCCAATCCCTAGGTACCTTACCCTCTTCCATACATTTATTAAACAATTGCACCAACCACTCCAAAACTATATCCCCACCTGCTTTTAACATTTCTATCTTTATCCCATCAATCCCGGCTGCCTTACCCCCTTTCATTTTACCTACTGCCTCACGAACTTCCCCCACACTCACAACTGGCTCTTCCTCACTCCTACAAGATGTTATTCCTCCTTGCCCTATACACGAAATCACAGCTTCCCTATCTTCATCAACATTTAACAATTCCTCAAAATATTCCTTCCATCTTCCCAATACCTCTAACTCTCCATTTATAACATGAATGATGGTGAAAGTGTTTCTTTTTATGGGTGAGACTGCCAACGTGTTAAAAAAAAAATGCAGCAAGACTGATTTGAAGAAACAGTGGGGAAAGTTTTCTTTTTAAGATATCCTACCTTGGAGTGCAACATCTGACAATTTAAAAAAAAAAGTTAGTCTAAAACAATTTTCTGTTGCAGGTAATGCGTGTGGATAGGCCCATAGATACTCTCCCAACAGCTCAGACATGTTTCTTCCAGCTTAGACTTCCACCATACTCAAGCCAGGAAGTGATGGCAGAGAGGCTGCGATATGCTATTAACAACTGCCGTTCTATTGACATGGACAATTACATGTTAGCTAGAAACCAGGACCCCAATCACCACTCAGATGATGATGAATTTTGAACAGTGGCAGTAGATTAATGTCAATGAAATGTGTGGAATGGTAGTTAATGATTGTTTTAAACATTGTTCTCTAAGATATTCATGGTGACCTCGATATAACTACAGTAGCAGGGTCTGGAATACGAAGATTGATGTCCTTGCCAGATTATGTTTGTTACCCCAACTGGTAGGAAACTGTTAAAACTGTTGCTTTTTTATATTTTATATTTATTGTAGTTATATTATTTGTGACAGCCTATTAGATCTATACAAAAATGGTTTGCATCTAATTTTTGTTTGACAGTTATTGATTTAAGGAAGAATTTCATGCAAAGCTGCATGCAGTATTTGCACCTTGAATATTTGTATTAAATTCTAATCTTGTAAATGTTAAGCTGCATTGGGTTACAAGAAACACAGAAGATTCTCAAATAACCTCAGAATGCAAATCAGACATTAGCGTGTGTTTCTCACTCGTATGTTTTTGTGATAGGTGATGTCATGTAGAATAACTTTCATGGTATGTAGAATTAATGCATTAGGCTGTTGTATTTGTTGATGTCAGTACTGTATTGAAATTAGTAATGAGCTGATGAAATGCCGAACCACACTAACCATGTTTGCTAAATTAATGTCTAAACTAGTCTTGAACCACCAATGACCAAAAAGAAAAAGTAATGACATATATTGAATGTATTTTCTTTCTTAATTTTGTACTTTTGATATTCTGTATAGAATAAATGTATATAATGCTGTGTGGTGGATTAGATACATTGCTATATTAAATATATTTTTGCATAATCAGGTGAAGTAAATTAAAATTAACTGGTTATTAATTTTTTATATTATAAGCTAAAGAAATAATTATAAATGAATAAAATGTCACTGAATTAGTTATCTCATAATGCAGCAGTAATAGGCAAAGTATGAGATTTGCCAGAAAAAAAAAAAAAAACTGGTTGGTATAGATGTTGCATTCTGATGTATTTTTCATGCATTCACAGTCAGGTAGAATTTATTTGTGAAGTTTACCACATGAGCTGTTTCTCACCAAGGTTGAAAATTTTAATGATATACATTAATAACAATATCTCAGCCATGAAATTTAAACCAACATAGATATAATAATAACCCACAAGTAAGTGGAAAAAAAAAAACCACTTTAGAGATCACATTAGCAGTGTGCTAGAGTACTGGTGGGTTTTAGCTAATTCTGACAGTATCAGGAAGAATTTTTTTCATCTTATCCCTAGTTCATGTGTACACTTGTATATTGCACATCACTGTCTTTTCCTGCCTTTGGTCAGTATTGTGGTACCATTTTTTTTTTTTTTTTACAAAGAAACTCTGGCATAAAAGTGATGAGCATTCATTAATGGCATTGGTTAATTTTAATGTAAACCTTAATCTAACATTACATACTAGAACATGCGAAGCAAGCACCAGATGAGCCTGGCCCAAGGCCGGGCTTTGAGAATGAGGAAAAAAATACTCTGAACTCATCAAAGGTAGCTTTGGTGCGTTTTCTCGTGTTTACTTGTAAATGAGTTTTCCGTTAGCCCTTTCACTTATTTCACAAGTTGATTTTAAAATTAACCAAATTTTTAAGATTAACCGAAGCAATGGCTAACTGAAATTATTTAGGATATAACAAGTATGATGAGGATTTAGTTTTGATTGTAATGTGATAACAAATATATCATCATATAACAAATATTATGATATATTAAAAAATACTGCACTCTGAAGGGGGTGGAGATACTTGCAGTTCTGACCTAGTATTGGCACTCCTCTGACAAGACAGTGATGGAGTGAGTGATGGTGAAAGTGTTTTTTCTTTTATGAGCCACCCTGCCTTGATGGGAGATGGCCAGTTTGTTGAAAAGCCCTAAACTCATATGGGCTGTGGAAAAAATGTCAATTTGTTAACATTACAAAAAAAAATCACCATTTTCATATTTACTTTCAACTTTCAATCAGTAACTTAACAGTTTATGTATAAGACCATGCAAGATTTTATGGTGTATAAACGGTGTATTTTTCACTAAAGTGTAGCTGCAATACTTAGCAGTCTTACAGTGCATATGTAAAATGTAAAGAAATAATAGTAATGTATTGTTGCAGTTTAGGGACCAAACCAAAACTTCACAACCATTGCTTCAACTCTAGTGTCATTGCTTTATGTTCAGCACTGGTTCCATTGGTTCAAGGGGCTTTCAGGGGGTCAGTACTGATTCCATTGGCTCAAGGGTTCAATACTAGTTTCATTGGTTAATGTTCAATACTTGTTTTAGGGGTTCAGTACTTGTTCCACTAAGTGTGGTTTGCATTCCATCACTAATTTGTGCTTTTTTTTCACTAAAGAAGCTGCATAGGAAACACAGTATCAATGCACATTTGTGTTTGATTTGTTTGATTTCATTCTGAAATTCACTCTTAAATTTCTCTTGTGTTGTATACTCAAATAGCAGTTTTGAAAAAAAAATATTTATAATTTTTGTGTACAGAAAGTGAGGTTTACTGTACACACGACTGATATTCTTAGTAATCTATTTGTAAGTTTAAGAATACAGTACCAAAGTTTTTCTACGATTTTATTGTAAAGGTGGACACGTGCGACTTAGAAATGTCATTGTCAGTGTGGGAGGAAAAAGGCAAAAATAACTGGCAAGAAATGTTAGACTTTGTCAAAGCTTTTAATAGAATGTGGTACTTCTCTAGATATTGATGACTTTTCATATTTTTTGTGTTATGCACTCATAAAAGGAGGGAAAGAATGGGGGTGAGGGTGTTATGGCACTGCTGTGATTCTACTGAACACTTGACCCCATCTCTGGTGAAGGTAGGGAGGGAGGAATAGTGGAAGTTAAAAAAAAAAAAATGTATATATATGACATAGCTCTTCTCAGAATGGTTACAGGCTCCCTCTCCAGTTGATAAATATACTAATTAGGTTTATCTCCATTTTCCTCACATTTAACTGATGTAGAGGATATAAAAATATCATGGGGACTGATGATGCAGGAAACTGCTAATTTAGTTCCATCTGTGAAGCCCTGTGATTGATAATGTAGCAAACATTATCCAGATGCAAGAGCAGAATTGGTCACTAAGAAAGAGGTACTTGGCAGCTGGAGTTATTAAGCAGAGGGGAGTAGTTTTTTATCATTAGAAATCAAGTTTTACAAACAGCTGTTAAGTGGGGATCTACTGTGCCATTAAATATTCCAGAAAACTGAGGGAGGTGCTGCAACATGTAATGAACTCTATCGTGTCTCCCGGGGTCATGGACAAAGCCGACAAAAATTCTCTTGAATATTCTTTTGAAAAAGTCCACACAGTTGAGACTGCAATACACCATATCATACCTTGCTTTAGTTTCTGCATTTCTGCCTAACCCAGCAACAGAATTACTGGCATAAATACTGTAGCAGGTTTTCTTGACAATAACAGCTGTAATTTTCACACAAGATTTAGCAATAGCATGAAAATAAATGCGTTGGCATATTTGACATTATTCCAATTAAAGGGCCAAAATACTTCTTGCAGGAAGGCTGTGATGCGAGGCTCCAAATGGAGTAATCCACTTTGTGCATACCTACTGATCAAAATATGCTTGGGATTAATTTAATTAATTTCTACCATATTTACAGCTAGTCATGGTTGTTCGTATCCGTTTTGTTCAAATATTCACAGTTTAAATGCTTATGAAGCAAAAACACTCAGTAAAATTATGAATCTTGATTTAGGTTTTAAGGTTCTTGAATATTTCAATTTTTATGTATTTTCCATTGATTCCATTTGTAATTAATGATTGTGTTTGATGTACATTTTTCACAATTTATTAGAAATGAATAGTATAATTTGCATACTTGTTGAAAAATTGATGATCAGGCTTGTAACTTATTGCTTTTATTTATTGTACTAGTATTTTCAGAATACAAGTATACTGTATATTCTTCATTTTATTGTCATCCTGTAGACAGAAACTTTTGGAACAATACTTTCACGTATCAGACGAGTTACTTTTATGAAAATTTGGGATTTACATGAAACTGCATAATGTGGACTAAAGAACACATGGAAAAAACATGGTAGTGTTCTTGATACAGGCAGTCCCTGCTTATACAGCAGGTGAGGTTCTGGGCTATTGATTTAAAGTGAAATGTAGCTTTTTTCACTCATATATTTCATATATTGAGTGAACAATAAAGCTAGGCTTAAAATAATCCATATACAGTTCGTACATTACTTACCTTAAAATATTTTTGTCGTTAGCTTATAGTGTGTGGTGAATATTTATTGTAGGAACTTTGAATAAATGAAGAATAGGTATAATTGAAAATCACTTCATTAGTGAAATGCCATAAAGGTAAGCACTGTAGGATAAAATGATTGTCAATGTAGGGAAAAGGATGATGTGATGTATTGTGATTGTTGTACTTGTTGGTGATTGTTTAATAAGTCCTACGTTTTTGATCATTTGATATATCATACAGATCTTTGTTTCTACAAGTACATGTACAAGGTGTACAGGCCTAGCTGACATTAATGACACTACTATATGGAAAGCCCCTTGTTATGCACAGCATTTTGGGCAAATTAGGTTTTTTTTTTCCCCAGGATGCAATCTACACCAATCGACTAACACCCAGGTACCATTTTACTGCTCGGTGATCAGTGACAGCAGGTATTTTAATGTTTGCACCAGTGCCAGGGATCGAACCACAGACCTCAATGTGTGAGTAGAGTTCGTTGAACCTTCTTAACATTAAATATAAATTTCAATGCTTTATATTGTTTTAAATAATTTGTACAATATTCACTTTAGGTACAAGAAGAAATAGGTGAAATAGCACTTTATTTTTCTTATTAAATACAGTATGTAAATATAAAACTTAGAATTTAAACTTACGAAGAGTAGAAAATATTATCTACAGTCAAACCATGGAATTTACATATTTTGTAATCTGTATGACTTATGGATAGTTTAATTCATTCTTTCAAATGTGGTCATATTTTCTGTGCTCAATCTATTTTTCTCCATGTATTTGTGTGTCATTATTAAGATTAGAGCAAAATTTACAGATACATGACCATAACAAATGGAACTTTTTTGAAATGTAGTCTTGTGCAAAATACAAAACAATGAAAATTTAAATTACAAGATAGTTTCTAGGAATGTAAACATTGCATATTCTTGGGTTTAACTGTGTATAATGGAAAAAATGTGCTAAACCTAAATGGGGTCATACATCTGTACTGTATTTATACAATGCCTTTAAACACTGGGCATTTCAAGGGAGAGGGAGTAACTTGACGGTCATCACAGACATACCTCATTAATACGGCGCTCACTTTACAGCACTTTGCTAATACATCTCTTTTCAATTTATATTCATATTATTTTTGGCTCTTGCCTTGCTCTTAAAGTGTTTTTTCCCAATTTTAATTTTATTTATTAATTTTACTTTTGTATAATTTTTTAGGCCTAGTGCTATTGCACACTTAATAAGTTATAGTAAACATGCTTTTAGGCATTTATATGCACTGCAAAGTGGAAAAAAAGGCTGTGATTTGCATTACGATGGATGTCTGTATTAGTGATGTATGCCTGTACAGGAGAGGCCCCACTTGTACAGCAGGTTGGGTTCTGGGCTATTGCTGTAAAGTGAAACAGCCTTTTTCAGTTTCAAATGCATACAAAGCCTGATAACATGTTTACATACATATTAGGCGAGCAATATAGCTAGGCCTAAAAAATGCATATACAGCATACACATCTTAAAATATTTTCACCCTTAGCTTACGGTGAATGGTAAATATATTGTAGGAAGTCTGATTAGCAAAATGCTGTAAGCGAAGCGTTGTGAAGTGGGGCTCCCCCTGTATTAAAGAAAGAAGTTCCCCTGCCTTTGCTCAGATCAAGCTTGATTATTTCCCATTCCTCAAGCTGTGTATGACCCTTACAAGTTTAACACTTCTTAATGAGCATAATAGTAATTTAACTTTTGCTGTCTAATTTAATGTAGAAATAAACAAATTTCTTTGTGTCCATTGGATATAACTTCTAAATTGCTAAACATAAAATGTTTAGAATAGCTAAATATTGAGGTATCTAACAAAAACATTAGATTCTTTTATTTTCTTGGATCAAACCTGATTTCCTCTCATTCCCCTTGCATTGTATGATCGCTATGGGTTTAAAGCTTCTTAAAAATTATAATTTTTAGTGGAAATGAAGTTTAAGGTACAGTATATCCTAGTTTATTGCTAACTTGAACATTTTGTAACATTAATTAATATGAAAAGCTAGTACTGTGCACAATACAGCCTCTCCTCACTTAACGACAGAATTTCGTTCCTAAGACCACGTCGTTAAACAAATTCGTCGCTAAGTGAGGAGTATACGTACTATAATGGTAGTGGGTCTGTCAGCCATCTTTGATATTGTTTTAATGTCACCTATGCACCATTTTTAACATTTCTGGTATATTTTCAAATGTTTATAGTGTACTGTATATTGCAATAAACAGAATAGAGGAAATCAGCTCTAATACACATTACAGTGGAACACAGAGTTTTAGCCGCCCTGAGAATTGGCCGCTTCGAGTTTCGACCACTATTTTGGGCTAAATTTTGTCCCGAGTTTAAGCCGTTGCCCTGTGTTTCGGCCAGCATACCAGACCTGTCCGTCTTCTCATGCCTGCGCGGCCTCCCTGCGAAGGTGTCGTGAACCAGTCTAGGTTTGTTTATCCTTGAGTGGACATTACCCTGCATGCTCATCCAAACATTTCACAATAAATTCATTGGGTTTAGTGCTTGTTTATTAATTGTGACTGTGAAATAAGCCACCATGGGGCCCAAGAAACTTCCTAGTTACAGCAGTTGAAGCAAGAGCTTCAACTGGAACAGCATCAGACCACAGCTGAGGAACTTGCTTCAGAGGAGGTAGAAGAAGGAGTGAAGCAGATGCCTTCTTCAGTGATTAAGGACATGTATGGAATGTGGAATAAGTTGCAAAGTTTTGTGGAAAAATACTACCCTGAGAAAGCTGAAACAAGCCATCTCTGCAACATGTTCAGTGACACAACAGTGTCCCATTTTAGGCAAATCTTAGAGATGCCAGAAACAGAGCACTCTTGAAAGTTACTTTGTGTGACAGGGGTTCAGTGACTCAAGCTGGTCCTAGTGGCATTAAAAGACAAAGGGATGTAACCTCAGATAAGGACTTGTTACCTAAAGTCTTTATGGAAGGGGGATTCCCTTTCCAAACAATAAATCCTCCCTCTCTCCTCCCTATCTTCCAGATGCCAGCAAGACTCTTCAATAAAGGTACATAAATGTGATTTTAAATGTTTATGTTTTGTATTATTCATTTAAGTACTATATGTATGTTTTAAGTACTGTACTGTTTAAGTACTATATGTTAAACTATAGTTATTCTTTAAAAAATGTATTTTTTGTGAATATTTTTGTGGGTCTGGAACGGATTAATTGTATTTACATTATTTCTTATGGGAAATATTGCTTCAACTTTTAGCCGTTTCGAGTTTAGGCCTAGCTTCTGGAACAGATTACAGCCAAAACTCGGGGTTCCACCATATTTAGATATAAATACTGGTCAGAGAGCCCATCGTAAGTCCGAGGCGTTGGTAAATGAGCACGTCGCTAAGTGAGAAGAGGCTGTACTCCATTAATATTGAGGAAAACTAGTGTGATATGAGAAAGGGGAGCTCCAATATCTTGGATCAAGAGATCTTAAGCAGCAACAAAGTACCCTTGCACCTTCTCGCTAGTGAAACCTTGGTACAAAGAGCTTTCAGAATAATACCTTGATGTTGAAGAACTCTTGATAAAACCATTAAAGTTACCCTCCCTGTGAATCAAACCTAACTGGCTTCCATTCCCATATGCTATACAAGCCCTGTGGCTGTAGAATACAGTGACACTTTGGTATAATGAATTAATAGGGAAAACAGGGTGTCCATTTAAACTAAAATATGTTATAGTGAAATATCCAGTGCAGTGGACATAAGAAGGGAAGAACACTGCAGTAGGCCTGTTGGCCCCCACTAGGCAGATCCTTTATAAATCCAACCCACTAACAGAATAAATGCTACCCAAGCAATAAATTGACAATTCTATTTACTCAGGTGCAAGTCCCACTCAAGTCCAACCTCTGTCACTCGTGTATTTATCCAACCTAAATTTGACACTACCCAAGGTTTTAGCTTCGATAACCCTACTAGGCAGACCGTTCCACACATCAGCTACCCTGTTACTAAACCAGTACTTTCCTATATCCTTTCGAAATCTACACTTATCTAATTTAAATCCATTATTGCTGGTTCTCTCTTAGAGGGATATCCTCAAAACCTTATTTATATCCCCTTTGTTGTATGGAAAGCCTGCCAGACACACACTTCTAACAGACAACAATCTCTATACAACAGGCTTTGTCCACTGCTTCAAACATTTATCTGGCCACAATTTATTTTGTCCTTTTTTCCTCTATTGATATGAAGGAAAAATACTGTATAACACACAATTATTAAGGGAAGGATGTTTGATGCATATGGTGATAGAAAATATACAAGTTTCCTTTGTTTACTCAATAGATATGTACCAGATTGTATTAATGTTGGTAGAAATACTGACTATGTTACGTAAAAGGACACAAGTGCAACTAATGTGACATTTTATTGTGGCAATGTTTTGCTCTCCAGGAGCTTTATCAAGCCGTAACGGCTTGATAAAGCTCCTGGAGAGCGAAACTTTGCCACAATAAAATGTCATTAGTTGCACTTGTGTCCTTTTACTCGACATGTACCAGGACCATGGCACTGGTACTCAGTGTCACTAGGCTCTCAGCACTTAATTCTGCACAAGACTTTGATGCATTTTAAGAACAGTACAGACATACTACATTCATCATATACTATCATAAACATAGAATTACTAATAGAACTGGGACATTATGTAAGTGAATTTGTATTAAGTAAATCTAATAAAAAGACACGCAGCGAAAGATCTTTATTTTTTTTAGAAAATTTTTACTTTTTTCAGATTTAACATTTTTGGTATAAAAAGCATTAATTCAGGGTAAAATTACTTATTCTTATTGATTTAAATGAACTTTTATGAACCTCAAGTAGGTGAAATGTCATAATAAATAAGTCTTTTTTTTTTGCTGTACGTGTCCTTTTACCACTTGTTAGCTATGCCATACAGTGAGCCATAACTGGCATAAAGTGAAGGGGAAACCTGTACCAAAAAAATGAGGTTTCAGACTTTAGCAACCCAGTGTCAGTAAACGTCAAGACACTAATTCACTGTGGAAACCGAGAACGAACTAAACATTGTTATTTATAAAGCTCCATACTCTATTGAAGTCCCTATTATAGTTTGTCAGTGTTCTCTTACCTTGCTACTTAAAGAACATATACATAGTTTAACATGTATCGTTGAAAAATTTTGAAGTAATTTCGTTAATTTTGTTTCACTTCTCACCCTTCAAGGAGGGCACCTTAGTGTTGGTGAAGGCTTCTTCTTCCAGTGACTGAGCTGTTCTTGGACATTCCAGTAAATGTTAGTGCTAACGTCTATCCTTGAAAATTTGGTTGCTTATTTTGAGTCGTATTCCTTTATTGCTCGCCACAGGCAGATAGACACAACCATGGAGAAACACTGAAAAGAAAATAGTACATTGTGAAATAATTGAAATGCGTTTGTATAAATTTGATAATTCTTGTGAAAGGCAAGAAAAAAAAAAATGTAAATTAACAGTAAGGTCTAAACAACAAGATCTTTATCTAAGGCCTTCCACTAGCATATGCAGATGACATTATGCAACTTACCGTACACGAAACCACTAATCATTCAGAACACAACGCGAGGTGTACAGAATTAGTATTTGGGAAATCCCGTGGCGTAAAGACAAACATCAATAAACAAAAAATGACTTTCTCAAAAGGACATCCCCCACTACCTGTTGAACTCAGAACTACACTACAAGAACACCTATATGACAAACACTAAATACAGTGGACCCCCGCATAACGATCACCTCCGAATGCGACCAATTATGTAAGTGCGTTTGTACGTGTATGTTTGGGGGTCTGAAATGGACTAATCTACTTCACAATATTCCTTATGGGAACAAATTCGGTCAGTACTGGCACCTGAACATACTTCTGGAGTGAAAAAATATCGTTAACCGGGGGTCCACTGTGCTACTGTCCTTGGAGTTGACCTCTACCCCCAATCTCAGACTACATACTCACATTAATGCCAAGAGAGCTTTGGCTAGTGAAGCTCTTGGGTGACTGGGCTCAAAGGTTCACATCCACAGACACCTATACAAGGCCCTTATGGCCACTCATCAGATGTTCTTTCACTAGTTGCTAAGACTAATGTCCTGAAATTACAGTGACACCGGGTGCTGGTTGTGGTAGGAAGTGACTTCACTACAAGCGAGTTTCTCCAGACCAGGACTGGCACCCAGGCACTGAATGCCTTCTGGAAAGAGCTTAGTGACAGGCTAATACACTGACTGAAAACTAAGACTCATGGACAACATACCTAGACGAAATCATACGACTGCCACACGCCCCTCAAAACCTTTTTCAGTCTTTATAATCCTGCTGCTGCTCCTCTCTATACCTAGTTTCTAAGTAAATCTTCTGCCCTGCCCTCTGCAGGGGTGGACCTTAAAAGATACCCTTTTTTTCTTGCCATCAATACCATGCCCTTCCCCATCTACCTACAACAACATTTGAGAAACAAAGCTTGTGTATGATGCACTAGCACTCTTTACTGCTGAGCCTTTACCACCTGAATCTGGACCACGCTCTGCAGTAGCAAGCATACAGTCAGCACAAGAAGCAACACTTTACTTTCAGCTCTGGCCAACAAATGCCATGCAGCTGGGTCTGGCCCTGGCTCTTTCCCTCACTCCTCAAATCATTCCTCTCCCTCACTTCTCTTCCACAGTCCCACTCTCCCCTCTCACCCTAATGGGTCTTACCTAGGAGTATCCTAACCTATCTAAGGAATCAAACTTCAATACCCATTCCTTGGATCAAACTTGATTGTCTTCCATTCTACCAGGTCCTGTCTGACCTTTCTTCATTTAGAGCTTTACAAAAAACTAAGAAATAATAGGGCCTAAAGATTTTTTTTTTTAACCAGAAGTATAGATGTGATCCAGGGATATAGATATGACCCAGAAGTATAGATATGATCCAGGGGTATAGATATGACCAGAAGTATAGATGTGATCCAGGGGTATAGATATGACCAGAAGTATAGATGTGATCCAGGGGTATAGATATGACCCAGAAATATAGATGTGATCCAGGGGTATAGATATGACCAGAAGTATAGATATACCCAGAAGTATAGATGTGATCCAGGGGTATAGATATGAACCAGAAGTATAGATGTGATCCAGGGGTATAGATATGACCAGAAGTATAGATGTGATCCAGGGGTATAGATATGACCCAGAAATATAGATGTGATCCAGGGATATAGATATGACCCAGAAGTATAGATATACCCAGAAGTATAGATGTGATCCAGGGGTATAGATATGACCAGAAGTATAGATGTGATCCAGGGGTATAGATATGACCCAGAAGTATAGATGTGATCCAGGGGTATAGATATGACCCAGAAGTATAGATGTGATCCAGGGGTATAGATATGACCCAGAAGTATAGATGTGATCCAGGGGTATAGATATGACCCAGAAGTATAGATGTGATCCAGGGGTATAGATATGACCCAGAAGTATAGATGTGATCCAGGGGTATAGATATGACCCAGAAGTATATGTGTGATCCAGGGGTATAGATATGACCCAGAAGTATAGATGTGATCCAGGGGTATAGATATGACCCAGAAGTATAGATGTGATCCAGGGGTATAGATATGACCCAGAAGTATAGATGTGATCCAGGGGTATAGATATGACCAGAAGTATAGATGTGATCCAGGGGTATAGATATGACCCAGAAGTATAGATGTGATCCAGGGGTATAGATATGACCCAGAAGTATAGATGTGATCCAGGGGTATAGATATGACCAGAAGTATAGATGTGATCCAGGGGTATAGATATGACCCAGAAGTATAGATGTGATCCAGGGGTATAGATGCAGTTAAGTAATGATGCTAGTGCATGGTACAGTAATAGTAATTTATAGCTCATGTCTGCTGGAGCTCTTCCAGTCCTGCTCATTATTTTTAATCCCCTCTTCAGTTTTTCAAAGAAATAAATTTTTCTATTTCTCACTTTGTGAGATAGGAAAAGCTCTATTTGACCCAGTTGGATTTAGTGCTCTTTTTAAGCACCAACAGCATGTGGTAGAAAGGTGTTGCTTTAGAAGTGACACTAATTTGGGTGCGAAGTACATTGGGCATGGTTAGGGTGCTGGGCTCACACCTGAGAGGACATGAGGTTGAATCCTTTGTATGAAGTAGCATGTATGGGTAAGTCTAACACTGTCTCCCTGTTACCTAGAAGTTATTAGGTACCTGGAAGTTAGTCAAATGTTGTGGGATGCATCCCACAGGAGGAGCTAGAAACGACCTTGATGGAAATAAGACACACTGATCGGCTTTTAGATTATCCTGGGTTAGAACCAAAGTTAATAAACCAAACAAAGTTTCTCTAACTAGTCTGTGATCAGTAGTGCTATTTTAAGAGCATATGCTCAGCACTGCTGACCACTGAATTCTTCTCATGGCTCTTAATGAGGGGACTAAATATCCATTCAATGGAAAAATAAATTTTATGGGCTTTAGAATACAGTGGACCCCCGGTTAACGATATTTTTTTACTCCAGAAGTATGTTCAAGTGCCAGTACTGACCGAATTTGTTCCCATAAGGAATATTGTGAAGTAGATTAGTCCATTTCAAACCCCCAAACATACACGTACAAACTCACTTACATAAATACACTTACATAATTGGTCGCATTCGGAGGTGATCGTTATGCGGGGGTCCACTGTAATTACTATTATGTGAAATAAACATACGGGAGTTATTTACATCAACAAGTACTGGTGGCTCGATCCTCTGTCTCCTAAGTGCCAGACAGACACTACCTGTTTTCATATACATGTTAGTAGGTTTCAGAAACAATTTTGAGGGATAAAAAAAATATGCCTTAGGTGAGCTTTCAGCCTTTTAGAAAAGCAATTAGTGTGATATTTGTCGAGGATTATTATACAATTTTCACAACGTATGAGTCATTAATCATAATATGAGCAGAGGATAACGATAATATGGGGGTAAAAAATTGTGAAGTTTAAGATGCCAGTTCCTTCAAGGTGGTTGCCTTGAACCCAAAGGGCTCTTGATCCAAGGAACTGGATCAAATTAATAAATGCTTGATGTTATTTTGTATATATACTACCTGGAGTATACCTGGAGAGGGTTTCGGGGGCCAATGCTCCTGCTGCCCAGTCTGTGACCAGGCCTCATGGTGGATCAGGGGCCTGATCAACCAGGCTGTTACTGATGGCCACACACAAACTGACATATGAACCACAGCCTGGCTGGTCAGGTACTGACTTTAGGTGCCTGTTCAGCCCCTTCTTGAAGATAGCCAGGGGTCTATTGGTAATCCCCCTTATGTATGCTGGGAGGCAGTTGAACAGTCTTGGGCCCCTGACACTTACTGTGTTGTCTCTTATGCTAGTGGCACCCCTGCTTTTCATTGGGGGAGATGTTGCATCTCCTGCCGAGTCTTTTGTTTGAATAGGGAGTGATTTTCATGTGCAAATTTAGCTCTAGTCCCTCTAGATTTTCCAAGTGTATATAATCATGTCTCTCTCCCACCTGCATTCTAGGAAGTACAGGTTGAGGAACTTCAAGCGTTCCCAGTAAATGAGGTGGTTTATCGCAGTTGTGTGTGCCGAGCAGTGTTTGGGTAGTGGGAGGCAATCAGGTTTAATTTAAGTGGAGGGTGTTTCCTATTCTCTATCAAGAGCCTTCCACTGGTATGAAAGATGTCACCACTGACCAGAGGGTAAGACATCACCACTGACCTGAGGGTAAAATGTCACTACTGACCTGAGGGTAACATGTCACTTCTGACCTGAGGGTAACATGTCACTTCTGACCTGAGGGTAACATGTCACTTCTGACCTGAGGGTAACATGTCACTTCTGACCTGAGGGTAACATGTCACTTCTGACCTGAGGGTAACATGTCACTTCTGACCTGAGGGTAACATGTCACTTCTGAACCATACCCCCGTGTCATTACGATTTCTTTAGTCATGTCACTTCTGACCTGAGGGTAACATGTCACTTCTGACCTGAGGGATGTCACTTCTGACCTAAGGGTAACATGTCACTTCTGACCTGAGGGTAACATGTCACTTCTGACCTGAGGGTGAGATGTCACTACTGACCTGAGGGTAAGATGTCACTACTGACCTGGAAGATGACCTGAGGGTAAGATGTCACTACTGACCTGGAAGAAACATATGCTGATAGAGATGCCAGTGATCCAGCCTGTCAGCACCTCCAGGAACTGGGAGAAGACCTCAGCACACGAGTACTTGTACTGGTTACCAGTCACCTGTCATCACCAGTACCAAGTTAAACATTTAACACATTACTATTATTGCATTACTGTAGTTAGAGTGAAGCTCTGAACTCAGTATTCATAGAGCAATTACAAAAATAAATAATTTCTGGTATCCCCTTTTTCACCAAGGAAGGCGACACTGGCTTTTGATCCAAGAAATGGACATATTCATCCCTTCCTTGGATCAAATGTGTTTTCCAATCCTCAGGATTACCCATACAGGTTTAGTGCTTCTGCTTAATGAAAATAAATACTGTTACAGTACCTCATCTGGGAAATTATATTTGAGGTTTGATCAAACCTAATTACCTTGCAGTTCCTAGGTGCTGTATGACCCTTACGGGTAGAGCACTTCTCCATCATTATTGTAATCTGACTGAGCAAGACTTAAGCGAAGATATTATAATTCATGTTAAATGCTAAACCCACGTGGGTCATTCAGTGCAAGATGTGGTGGAGGCTCGATCCCCCGCCTGCTGAGCGCCAGACAGACACACTACCTATTTAATTATAATCTTAATTTTTAAAGGGGTGGAGTGGTAACCAAGTGGAAGGCCTCGGCCAGATGACCAAAAGCTCCAACTGTGGATCATCACATGACTAAGACCCACATCAGGAAACATTTGTCCTGTTTCCTGACAAACATTCCCTAACTACCTATTTGTAACTCACAAAACTGTAATAATTTCACCCGTACCACAGTACTGGTGAAGTTCGAATCAATGGCAAATGAGTCGTAAAACTCCAGGCCAATGCGTAAACCACTGGGCCAGCTGGCTACAATAAGATACATCCAACTAGGTATATTTATACACCATAGGTTCCTACGGGTTTAGCGCTCCCCCATGATTATAATATACACTATAGGAAGGTTAGCATGGGCCACCACTGTGATAATAAAGGTAAGTTTTTACAGATGACTCTCCTGCCAGCCCCTCAAGGAAGGTTCCTTAATGCTGGTGAGGGGCTCTTGATCTAGGGAATTGGATCTGTGCTTCAATTCCCTGAATTAAGCCTGAATGTGTTCCACTCCCTCCCTCCCACAGACGCTGTATAATCCCTATGGGTTTAGCTCTCTTCCATGAAAATAATCTAGCCAGCTGGCCCAGTGGCTTATGCTCTGGTCTAGAATTTTACAACTCACTTGCCGTGAGACATGATGATCAGCAGTTGAAGAATTGAGACACTTATGCAACATATGGGAATCTTTATTGGAGAAACGTTTCGCCACACAGTGGCTTCATCAGTCCAATACAAAGTAGAAATTGGGTAAGGAGAGTAGAAGTTTGTGGTAATCAGTCCCTCAACCTGGAATCGATGTATTCAGTCCATCACTGATGAAGCCACTGTGTGGCGAAATGTTTCTTCAATAAAGATTCCCATATGTTGCATAAGTGTCTCAATTCTTCAACTTGTCGGTTTTCAAAACCATTCATCACATGATCAGCAGTGTCGAGAATTTCAGCTAGACACAGTTTAATATCTTATTATGCACCCTATACCCATCCTGTGAGTGGTGGTCAAAAGACTGCAGAGGTACATAATGAGTCCAGGGACTGGACTCCAAAGTTATGATAGATGAACAAGTTACAAAGATAATGAACTCCAGGTAGATGTGGACACAATCATGACCAAGTTACAATGCTAGATACACACACAGCACACAGTATTAATACACTTACCGAGTAGATATTTCGGCCACTAGTTGCTTCGTCAATCCATTCCAGCACTGGTTTTTATAAACCCCTGGTAAACAATACATCAGTAACTGTATACAAATAACCCGCACATAGAAGAGAGGAGCTTACCATGACGTTTCGTTCTGACTTGGACCATTTACAAAGTTACACTTTGTGACTTTGTAAATGGTCCAAATCAAACCGAAATGTCATGGTAAGCTCCTCTCTTCTATGTGCGGGTTATTTGTGTATCGTTCCAGTCACAGTATTGTGCCTTTTTTTGTTATTCATCAGTAACTGTACTAAATACCGCACGCATATTTCACTTGTCAGTCGCAATGGTAAAATCCTATTGTGACAAACTTTATGTAAGTTTACCCAGGTACACAAATACAGCTACATAGGTTATCATACATAGCAGCATATGTGTAGATTACCTAACATAACCCAAAAAGAAGTCAAAGTGACTTATTTGCACCTAGATACTTGTGTCTGCATTACCAGTAGTACTCATGACGCATGAAATCATTCCTCATTGGTCTGACTCTCTGATCGCGGGTTCAAGCCCCGCCCGTGGTACGCTTTTCTTTAAGTAGTACTCACCTGGTCACGACAGGTATCCGGGATGGGCATGTGTATGTTAATGTAATCGTCAGCAGAATATCCGCCGCAGCATCCGATCTGTGAAGCAAATGTGGCTGTCATTGTTACACCCTCCAAGGACCTTGATGCTAAGAGTAGAAGCTACCTTCATCTTCATTGTTTCAAAACTTATTGATTCCCATTCCCTGGGCAAAGTATGGCCTTGTGTATATCAATATAATTTATGGGTTATTGAGAAGTTTTGTCCACCATGGACTTCATTTATTCTCACGGATGGAAAAAGTTCTCAAAAACTGCAAAGTGTACCTTATATTGTATGATTCTACCAGTTGTAGTAATTTACCATGAATAAAACACCGTAGTTTAAACAAACTGTTTAATGCTTAATATGGTGAAAGCCATTAAATACAAACTAAGTTCTGACTTGGGTATTGCATATCCAGTAAAGTATACTCTAACATACTGAATGTATCAATCTAACAGTGAAGAGGTGGAGATCAGTTTAACATCTTTATTATGCACCACATATCCATAGTGTGGGTGGTAGTTACACCATACCCATGGTGTGGGTGGTAGTTACACCATACCCATGGTGTGGGTGGTAGTTACACCATACCCATGGTGTGGGTGGTAGTTACACCATACCCATGGTGTGGGTGGTAGTTACACCATACCCATGGTGTGGGTGGTAGTTACACCATACCCATGGTGTGGGTGGTTACATCATACCCATGGTGTGGGTGGTAGTTACATCATACCCATGGTGTGGGTGGTAGTTACATCATACCCATGGTGTGGGTGGTAGTTACATCATACCCATGGTGTGGGTGATAGTTACATCATACCCCTGGTGTGACTACCACCCACACCGTGGGTACGTGATGCAAGCTAAAGACATCCAACCTTAGTAGGATCACCCTCCGACACAAATACATCCAATAATACTCACGTATTCCTGAACAATGTCGACGGACCTCTTAGCCGTCAAGTCCCACTGGTACTGGTTAATTAAACCTTTCATGGTCTCCTGTACGTAGGGATAGAGGTTGGAATCCTCGAGGCCGTTGGCCAACAAGTAGGCTGATGCTGACAGCATGAAGATAAAGTTAATCACAGTCATCACCTTGTACTGGAGTGTTCATGCAGGTAGAAGGGAGAGAAAGTGTTCATCAGTATAATTGGTACAATCTATTGTTCATATATGGCTTAGCGCTTCTTTTTTGATTATAATAATAATAATAATAATAATATTGTTCATATAGGAAGAGTGTTCATTATATTTGGTACAATCTATTGTTCATATAGGTAGCATTCATTATAATTGGTACAATCTATTGTTCATACAGGTAGTGTTCATTATATTTGTTGTAATAATGTTGGTAGAATTACCGACAATATGTAAAGTAAAAGGACACAAGTGCAACTAATGTGACATTTTATTGTGGCAACGTTTCACTCTCCAGGAGCTTTGTCAAGCCGATACAAACAGTATATGGACACAGAGGGTACATATAAAGGCTCAGAGTGAGGTGCAATACTAGTGAGGTACCATATCGATGTTCACAGGTGGTAGTAGTAGTAGTAAGACAATATGGTTGAGCAATTAATTCGTACATGAGTGAAAGGATATAAAAGCTATTACTTGGGTAACATAAAAATAGGTTGGACAAACATAGACTGGAAATGTGCCCTGTGTAGTATAACAGGAGAGACTACGTGATGGCAGGGTTTACTGTTTTCAGGAGGATTCTTGCTAAGACTTCAGAGATGGTGAAGCTGCCGTTGTTTTGTTTAATAGTATTCGAAACAGCGATCAGTGCTGATTCGAAGCACTTGCGTCTGCGAAAATTAGTTTTGATCACTAATTGGGCGTCCCTGAATTTCATGAGATGATTGGTGGAATTTCGGTGTTGTACACAGGCGTTGTTAAGTTATCGTTCCTACATGCGTAAATGTGTTCTTTGAGGCGGGTGTCGAGGTTTCTTGCTGTTTCACCCACATAAATCTTGTCACAGCCTCCACAGGGTATAGTGTAAACTCCTGCATTGACTGGTTCGTGATGCTTGGATTTTGTCCTAGTTAGATCCTTTATTGAAGTGCTAGAAGCGATGGCGACTCTGGTGTTAGCTTGTGAAAGTACTTTTGAGACGTTCAGTGCAACCTGGCTGTTGGGAAGAATTATAACTTTGTTGGGAGTGGTGTTGGTGCGTGGAGAATTAATGATCTGAAGAGCTCTTTTCTTGCAGTCTTTGATGAAAAAAGAAGGAAAATGTAACTCAGTGAATGTTTGGTGAATGTATGTACATTACTCGTCAAGAAACTCAGGACTACAAATTCGGTATTATGCTCTTAAGAAAAACCCGATGATGCCTCTTTTGGTCTTGGTATCTTGACTGGAATAGAAGTGTGCGAGATCATTTTTATTGGTAGGTTTCCGATAAACTTGAAATCTTAGGTTGTTGTCTACATTCACATTAGTAAACCTGAAGTATACCTGGAGAGGGTTTTGGGAGTCGCTGCCTCCGAGGCTCGGTCTGTGACCAGGCCTCGTGGTGGATCAGGGCCTGATCAACCAGGCTGTTACTGCTGGCCGCATGCAAGCTGACATACGAACCACAGCCCGGCTGGTCAGGTACTGAGTTTATGTGCTTGTCCAGGCGCTCCCTTTACAGGCGACGGAAAAGAATAACAGAGCGGCTAAAAGAGGTCAATATATCTGAAATGCGCAGGGAGACACTGGTCAGAGAAATAGCAAGCATCGAACTTAAGCTAAAAGAATCCTTTAGGAGTCAGGAATCGCGGGAAGAACTAAAAGCTATAAATGAAATCGAAAGAAACCCAAAGTATTTCTTCTCCTATGCCAAATCAAAATCGAGAACAACGCCCAGTATTGGGCCCCTACTTAAACAAGATGGGTCCTACACAGATGACAGCAAGGAAATGAGTGAGCTACTCAAGTCCCAATATGACTCAGTTTTTAGCAAGCCGCTAACCAGACTGAGAGTCGAAGATCAAAATGAATTTTTTATGAGAGAGCCACAAAATTTGATTAACACAAGCCTATCCGATGTTATCCTGACGCCAAATGACTTCGAACAGGCGATAAATGACATGCCCATGCACTCTGCCCCAGGGCCAGACTCATGGGAAATCTGTGTTCATCAAGAACTGCAAGAAGCCCCTATCACGAGCCTTTTCCATCCTATGGAGAGGGAGCATGGACACGGGGGTCGTCCCTCAGTTACTAAAAACAACAGACATAGCCCCACTCCACAAAGGGGGCAGTAAAGCAACAGCAAAGAACTACAGACCAATAGCACTAACATCCCATATCATAAAAAACTTTGAAAGGGTCCTAAGAAGCAAGATCACCACCGATCTAGAAACCCATCAGTTACACAACCCAGGGCAACATGGGTTTAGAACAGGTCGCTCCTGTCTGTCCAGCTACTGGATCACTACGACAAGGTCCTAAATGCACTAGAAGACAAAAAGAATGCAGATGTTAATATATACAGACTTTGCAAAAGCCTTCGACAAGTGTGACCATGGCGTAATAGCGCACAAAATGCGCGCTAAAGGAATAACAGGAAAAGTCGGTCGATGGATCTATAATTTCCTCACTAACAGAACACAGAGAGTAGTCGTCAACAGAGTAAAGTCCGAGGCAGCTACGGTGAAAAGCTCTGTTCCACAAGGCACAGTACTAGCTCCCATCTTGTTCCTCATCCTCATATCCGACATAGACAAGGATGTCAGCCACAGCACCGTGTCTTCCTTTGCAGATGACACCCGAATCTGCATGACAGTGTCTTCCATTGCAGACACTGCAAGGCTCCAGGCGGACATCAACCAAATCTTTCAGTGGGCTGCAGAAAACAATATGAAGTTTAACGATGAGAAATTTCAATTACTCAGATATGGTAACCCTGAGGAAATTAAATCTTCATCAGAGTACAAAACAAATTCTGGCCACGAAATAGAGCGAAACACCAACGTCAAAGACCTGGGAGTGATTATGTTGGAGGATCTCACCTTCAAGGACCATAACATTGTATCAATCGCATCTGCTAGAAAAATGACAGGATGGATAATGAGAACCTTCAAAACTAGGGAGGCCAAGCCCATGATGACACTCTTCAGGTCACTTGTTCTATCTAGGCTGGAATATTGCTGCACTCTAACAGCACCTTTCAAGGCAGGTGAAATTGCCGACCTAGAAAATGTACAGAGAACTTTCACGGCGCGCATAACGGAGATAAAACACCTCAATTACTGGGAGCGCTTGAGGTTTCTAAACCTGTATTCCCTGGAACGCAGGAGGGAGAGATACATGATTATATACACCTGGAAAATCCTAGAGGGACTAGTACCGAACTTGCACACGAAAATCACTCACTACGAAAGCAAAAGACTTGGCAGACGATGCACCATCCCCCCAATGAAAAGCAGGGGTGTCACTAGCACGTTAAGAGACCATACAATAAGTGTCAGGGGCCTGAGACTGTTCAACTGCCTCCCAGCACACATAAGGGGGATTACCAACAGACCCCTGGCAGTCTTCAAGCTGGCACTGGACAAGCACCTAAAGTCAGTTCCTGATCAGCCGGGCTGTGGCTCGTACGTTGGTTTGCGTGCAGCCAGCAGCAACAGCCTGGTTGATCAGGCGCTGATCCACCAGGAGGCCTGGTCACAGACCGGGCCGCGGGGGCGTTGACCCCCGAAACTCTCTCCAGGTAAACTCCAGGTCTCCAGTGCCTGCTTGAAGACAGTCAGGGGTCTATTGGTAATCCCGCTTATGTATGCTGGGAGGCAGTTGAACAGTCTCTTGCCCCTGACACTTACTGTGTTGTCTCTCAGTACTCGTGGCACCCTTGCTTTTCATCGGCGGATTGTTGCATCTCCTGCCGAGTCTTTTCCTTTCATATGGAGTGATTTTCGTGTGTAAGTTTGGTACTAATCCCTCTAGGATTTTCCAAGTGTATATTATTATTTCTCTCTCCTGCATTCAAGGGAATACAAATCAAGGGACTTCAACCATTCCCAGTAACTAAAGTGTTCAGTATAATTGGTACAACCTACAACCTACTTTGAGATAAAACAATTCACGAAACACTGGCACTTAAGCTCATCAAGACGTTCTGATTCTTTCAGCTTCATGTGACTTATAGCCACAGAAGACAACACTCAATACAGAAGAATCCTGGAATCATCGTTTATCTCTATAACCAACAATTTCAACCAGAACAATGGCTTCTATAACATAGCTGAACCACTCGCCAAGAAACTTCATCGCTATCCCACATAAGAACATAGAACACTGCAGAAGGTCTACAACTTGTCCAATATCCCCTCCTAGCTACCCAAGACTCTATAACCCCACCCGGTAGATCATCAGATGCAGCATTCTCCACCTGACCTCAACATCCTGAACTATAAATACTCCCGTACCTTCCAACCCCAGGTAGATCCGTGTGTGACTTGAAAAAGCCCACTGTGTGGGTGAAACGTTGTCAATAAAGGATCACATTATACTGCATTTGTGTTTATATTTCCATCATGTCAAGTCACAACCGAGACGAGAAAAACAGAAAAAGCTGAGAAGACTATGTAAATATGAGGAAGTCCTACAGCTGTAGGGATTCTTACAGGTTGTTGGGGATGAGGTTTGACCCAAGGAGAAAGATAGCGCCTTATCCTTGGATCAAGACCTCCGAAGAACAATGAATAGTAGTATATAAGGGGTAACCCATTATTATCAGTGTTCAGGACCCACTATTACCAGTGTCCCATAGTTAGGTTGGTAGCACACTCAGGTAACACACTGAGGTCCCCAGTACTGATGGAAACATTAGGAAGTGTTTCATTAAGACACCTGCTGTCCATGTTCGCCTAGCAGTAAAATAGGTACCTGGGTGTTAGTCGACTGGTGTGGGTCGCATCCTGGGACAAAACTGACCTAATTTGTGTGAAATGCTCAGCATAACAAGGGACTTTCTATATAGTAGTATGTCACTGATGTCAGCTATGGTCTGTATACCTTGTACATGTACTGGTAGAAATAAAGATTATTATTATTTAAGTCTCGGAAATGATCCAGAACTGACCACCATCAATGACTTATCTCCTTTTGGGGTAAATTGTTTTT